CATGATGTTTTATTATGTAGTATCAAAGTGTACTTGGGCACTTCCTCCTTGCTTTCTTTTTTTCAAAACTGACAACTAATTGTGGACCCTGGGTTTTTTTCTTCCATATAAATTTTGAATGTTTCTTCATTCCCTCAAAACATTTTTGTATCTTGAAATTGTTTTAGATTTTAGGTTAATTTTGGAAGAATTGGTATCTACATGTTAAGAGATGTTGTCCACCATCCTGGCATGTATTCATGTCTTTTGTCCTTTGATAGTATCGTTTTTCTCCAAATTTTTATTTTGAATTTTGTGAAGTTGACTTTTAGGTACTTTGTAGTTTTAGACTTTTAGGTACTTGTAAAAATTAGCTGATTTTATGTTTTCCAGTTGAATATTGCTTGAAGAAGTAGACTACTGATTATTGTAGGCAGATCTGGTTGCTGACATCATTGCTGAACATGAATAATCAGTTCTTAAATTTTTCCTGTTAATTCTGCAAAGTATTCTATATAGATGACCAGGTAATCTATGAATAATGACAGCTTTGCTACTTCCTTTCAATCCTTATTCTCATTGCTTCTTTTTCTTGCCTTATCACATTGGCCAGGACCTCCAGTACTATGTTGAGTAGTAGCAGTTTTTAGAAGGAATAAGATTCTGTCCACATGTTATCTGCTTCCTATCCCACTTAGAAATTATGCCTACCCTAATGTACCCACAAGCTCCATCTTCTGCTGGTGCAGGACTACTGATTTTGTTGTCTTGCAGTGGAATAGGTCTGACCTATAATCTGCACATGGTAATATGGGAGAGAAAAAGAGCCCCAGATTAAAGCTTTCCCACCTGTGACACTTGCCTTCTTCCCTCTGTGGTCTGCAGTTACATTCACATATATCTGGGACCCAACCACTTGTCTTTCTAGAAGCGTCTCACAATTACTACACTGGGGCCTCAGACCACTAACTGCCCCATTTCTGAGGCATTAGAAAAAATGGATTGAGGGAAATAGCCTATAGCCCTGTTGGCTTGCCAGTTTGCCAGGAACCAAAAGCCAGAGTAACTTTTTTTTTTTTTTTGGTATCAGGGATTAAACCCAGAGGCACTTAACCACTGAGCCAAATCTCCATGCCTTGCCCCCCTCCTTTTTTTTTTTTTTTTTTTGAGGCAGGGTCTCCCTGAGATGGTTAGGGCCTCACTAAGTTGCTGTGACTGGCTTTGAAATTGTGATTCTTCTTCTCAGCCTCCCGAGCCGCTGGGATTCAGAGTTACGTTTCTAAAATAGTAACAATCATGAGAATGCTTTTATCAAAGGTCTTTGAAGACTCTTATGTAAGCTCTTTAATATGGTATTCAAAAGATCTCAACAAGATGGCCTCACTTCCTTTTCCACTTCCCGTAACATACTCTACATTCAAACTCCCCTGGGTGCTCTTTCCTGAACATGCTATGCACTTTAAACCTCTGTTTACCATTTGATTCCCTCTCCATGGAATTCTCTTACCCCTCCTTCCCATTAAGAAATCCTTCTCATTCTTCAAAGCTCAGAGCAAAAGTTATCATCTTTATAAGGTTTTCTCAAGTTCATCTCATTGGTATAAATCATTCCCCCACAATGCTCCCCAGAGCAATTGCCTGTCAGATTTGCTTTATATTTTGTTGTTATTTAACTGTTCATCAGATGGTGACCTCCAGAAGAGCAAGGACCAACTGTGTTTTGTCCATATCTCAATTTCTGATTCAGTTCTTAATAGGTAGTTGCTCAGCAAATGTTTATTCATTAAATTAAATGATAGCAATTACAAATTGTAGGAAAAAGAAGTTATTACTAAGAATGAATTACTGTCCTTGGGTAATCTTGGTTCTAGTAAGATTGGGTAGGACTTCACAGAAGTGGTGTTATCTTCAATTATAATTAGTAACATGCAAATAGGAATGAGAACACACACTGTAATCTCCTAGTCACTCTCTTTATCTGATTAGGTCTTTTAAGTCTCCTATTCATTCTGTTTGTCTGACTAAGTATTTCAAGTGCTACACCAACAACTTTGACCCTGTGTGGCAAAATGTATCTGCAAATTCTAACACATAGGAGCTGGGAGCAGTGGTGCACATCTGTAATCCTAGCAGCTCCAGAGGCTGAGCAGGGGGTTCCTGAGTTCAAAGCCAGGCTCAACAATTTAGTGAGATCCTAAGCAATTTAGTGAGACCCTGTCTCAAAATTCAAAAAATAAAAAATAAAAAAGGACTGAGGATGTGGCCCAAGTGGTTAAGTACCCCTGCGTTCAATCCCTTGTGCAGAAAAAATGTTAAAAAGTCTAAGACATAGGTGCAATTATAGAAGTTAGCATGTGGTTGGACATTTTGGGGTCTCTACTCCTGAATAATCTTCCTAGTTATACCCTTAGGTGGGTATCTTTACACACAGCCCATAAGATGTACCTATTTACAAGTGAAAATTATGAAAATAAATGGAAATTTCTGTTGAAATGCTTACCTTTAATTTTGATAGATATTTCTACTAAGTGATATTGCTGTTTACCCCATGAATAGGGTATCTGTGTTGTGTAGGAGATAGAAAAAAGGTAAATGAGAAAACTGAAGTAAAATTAATTATGTTCATATTATTCATTTTCTTTAAATGATATATAGCAGTTTCTTTTGTTTTTTTCTTTTTGCATCCCTAAGCAGTAGGTTTGGACAATACTATTATCATTTTGAAAAAATTAAAATAAGAAGAAATTAATTTTCTTTAGCAGATTGTTGCAGGCAGCAATGGCCCCCAATTTGTTTGGCCCTCCCTGTCTCCACATTCTTGGATAATACCTTTCACACTGACTCCAGGGTTGGCCATGTAACTTGTTTTGACCAATGGGACAAGAGAATGTATGACATAAGAAGAAATTTAATAGCATTTGCATATCATAGCTTGCCCTCTTTTGCTGCTTTTTTGTACCCTGAGGCCACCATGTGAAGCCTGGGTTAGTCTGCTAGAGCATGAGAGATCACATGGAGCAGAGATAAACCATCCCAGCTAAGTCTTCTTCAGCCAACCACCTTATCAATCTCCAGGAAAATGGGTGAGGTAAATCAACAGCTGCTGACAGAGACCTGTCACTCCAACCCACATCTGAAGAACCCTCCAAATGACTCAATGAATCAAGAAAAATAATAAATGTTTGTCATTTTAAGTTACTATGCTTCAGGATGGTTTGTTACATAGCAAAACCTAACTGGTACATCCCCAAGAAAGTCTAGTCAGGATAGACTCCCTAGTTCATGGTTCCTAAATTCATGTTCAGTTGCTCTCCTCCTACTCTTCCTCAGAGGTCAAGCTTAGATATGCAAAACTTAAAGATATTATTTTGGATCTTGGGTATGACCAAGCCTCATCTTGAATTTTTCAAGGGAAAAGATCATGACTTGATTTTTCTAGCTGGTTTAGTACATAGCTTTATTCATAAAATATGCTCAGTGTAGTGGGGTGGTATTTCTTTTCTGAAAAGGAAGTAAACTTAAGTTTTCCTTACAATTATGAATGGGGAAGCTACTGGTGGTGTGTACATCTAAAAATTTCTAGTTACAAAGAAAGTTTTATAATAACAAAATTTCCTAAGAGATAGAACAGAGCAGATTAAAAAAAAAAAAGCAGCTGTGTCTTACTGAAGCTTCAGTGAACATTATTCACACTGAAGTCTCTGTGAACAGTGCCCTCCTAGAGTTGTGCAGCATGAAACTTACTCAGTGGTACCTGGGACCCCTGCCTGGCACAGGATAAATGTTTAGTAAAGAATAAGTGCATGCACGCACATGTTTGTGGTATTTAGTACAGTTTTAACTGGAAAGAAAAACCAAATTAGAGTCCCTGTTGAGCAGGTTCTCAGAATACAAATCTCCTTGCTTTTGATGTGACAAAGTGAAAGAAATTACCTAAATAAATTGAATAGATGAACTACAGACTCAAAGAAGAAACTTTCACCAAATTCTGCAGGTTAAAAAGCAATAAAAAATAAGAACTCATTTTGGTTAATGGTGACACCTAGTGGTGTATGAAACTGTGAATTTTCTGGGACTAAATGATTTTGTTGTACATGTTAGGAGGAGGAAAAGTCCTAGGGGTTGGGAACCACAGCTCCCTTTTACAGCCTAGAGTCAGTCAGCAGGTGGGTGCTCTTCCTGAAGGAGGCCTGCCCAGATCTTCCTGTACAGAAGATCTCAGAATAATGCCAGAGGTGGAGGGATGCTCCCTGCCAGTGAAGCAGGCCCACTTCCGACAATCATTTCTGTCATCCATGCCTCTCAGCTTGCAACTTACTCTGTCCCTTCCTTCTTTCCTCTTCTGCTTTGACTTACCCTTTATTCACCTTCTCTCCTTTTCATTATCCTCCTTGCTCACTGATGCCTCCCAAAGACATAGCAATGCCCAGAATAACATTATCCACAATGGCAACCCCTACCTCATATGACCAATTAAATTTAAATTAATTAAAACAAAATGAAATTAAAAATTCAATCTCTCAGGTTTGGGATGTAGCTCAGTGGTAGAGTACTTGCCTAGCATGTTTAATCCAAGTACTACAAAAGCCCTGGGTTTAATCCAAGTACCACAAAAAATACTTAAAAGCATTTGCATATCATAGCTTGCCCTCTTTTGCTGCTGGGTTTAATCCAAGTACCACAAAGAAATAAATTAATTAAAAAACCAGAAAATTCAACCCCTCAGTCACATTAGTTACTCAAGAGTCAGGAGCACTCACAGCTGCCATGTTGGATGGTGCAGATACAGTTGTGTGCATCCTGTTAGAGAGCACCAGCCTTGAGCTTGACTCACCTACCTCTTCTCATCTCTTCCTTCTCAACACCTTTTCTCTAAATGGCAGTTCTTGAAGCTGTCAGCTTTCTGCTCCTCCCTGTCCCTCTCCACTTTCTTCGGTTTATTGGGTAGCTTTCTGTTTTCTGTTTATTATTATGTAAACTTGTTAAGGTGACCCTGCCGTGGTGAACACAAAACTATATAATCATATTGGACAGTTTATTCAAGACAATGATTCACAGCATCTTGTTTTCCATGCATTGGAACGCATCAAAATATTTTTAAACTCAACACATCAACACATCATTTAAAACAATTATACCCCAGGCCCTTTTCTTTTTTAATCCACAGTTCCTTACCTTTTTACCTTGTCTTGAGTTAAAGTAGCTTTAAAATTAAACAGCACATCTTTTTTTAAAAAAAATAAAGTCTGAAAATACATGTTTTATGCATAGAATAGCTCTAAAATGATACACAGCAAACTGGGAACGTGTTGATGTTTGGCTAGAATGAAGTAGACATTTACTTTTTATTAAATACCCTTTTGTAGTATATGAATTTGTTCTAGGGGTGTGTGTGTGTGCGTGCACGTGTGTTTATGAAACTTTTAAAATTAAATCGAGTTATAAATCGCTTTTGAAATTAAAAGTAACACCTGAAAATAAATCTTACGACACTGAAGAATCAAACCAAAAATATTCCAGAGCTCTCAGAAAGAAACTAACTTTTGTATTTTGTTTGTTTGTTTTAAGAGACAGGGTCTTGCTATGTTCCCCAGGCTGGCCCCACATTCCTGGGCTCGAGTGATCCTCCTGCCTCAGCCTTGGATTTGCTGGGACTGCAGATGCATACCACCATGCCCATCAGGAAAGGAGGTCATTAGGTGGTATGTGTCTATTTAAAAAGATAATACAAGGAGTTATAGGACCATATTAATTCAGGTTTATTTCCAATGACAATTTGCCAGGATCCTAGGACCTGAATGCCCTGACAAGTGGCCCCTCCTGACTGTTGTGTTAGGAAGAAAGCTTTCCTTAGAGTTTTGTGTTTCTTTAAGAAGGGACTTGGGAACCAGGATAGAATCATTATACCTACATCATAAGTACTAATTATACTACCTTGTTGATAAAAAGGGAAACTGAGTCAGGGCACAGTGAATTTGGTGTAAACCAGGGTTTTGTCAGCACTCTTGATTTCCTTTAAGGCTACGTGGCATGAAAACCATATAATCATATGTCCAGACCAAACTGTGGCATCTCTATGTGGATTATCTAAATAAAGCGCTGCCTAGACCATGCCACCCAGGGGAGTTGGTTTGTGGTTCTTTCTGACTGTGGACTTCTATGGTGCCAGTCTGGCCTTGGGCAGAGTCAAGGTCCTCTTCAAAGAACAAAGGTTTACACTAAGGCTCCCTGGGATCTTATAGGAGTCTGTTTCCAATGAAAGGCTCTCTGGTTCTCTATGTTAGGAAGATAAATAGCAGCTCATCCCTCGGTGGAACACCAGCCACTATCCTTAACCCCAAGTCAGATTGGCAATGGAAGATGGAACCAGCAATATAGTCAGCGCCACAGGGGCTCACCCTCACTTTCATATAGAGAAAAACTGAGTCCCACAGAGCTTAGAACGTTAAGTGACCTTCCCTAGATTATGTAAAGGCTGATGGTACTGGAGCCTCCTGCCAGACTGGCCAACCCAGCAGGTGCTGCTTCAGTTAAACCATCCCAATAGCCCTGGACACCCCTCTGCACAGACCCTTCTAGTCTCATAGGAGAGTCGAACTCCTCACAATGTTCAATTACCAATGAGAAGACTGGAATGTCAAGGACTGCGCAGTGTGTGTTTTCAGGTTAGATTTTTAAGGCCCTCTGTGCTAAAATTGTAGCTATCAGTCACCTGAGACTACTGAGCTCTTGACGTGCAATTAATCCAAATTAACTTGAGGATAATAACAGTAAGATACATATCAGATTTTGAATACTTCAAATGAAAAAATAAACAATCTCATTAATAATTTTATACTGATTACATGTTGAATGTGTAATACATATGGATAATATTTTAGACATATTGGGTCAAATGAAAAATATAAAAGTTCATTTATCTATTTCTTTTCACTTTTTAGAACATGACAAAACTTTTTAGAATAGGACATTTAAAATTATACATATGACTCACATTACATTTCAGTTGGACAATACTGAGCTATACAATATAGACTCTGACTTCTGCTTTGTAATGTAAGACAGCATTACAGTATAATGAGCTCATGTGCACACATTTAAGGAAGGGGGAGAGAGAAGGGGAGGGGAGAGAGAGATAAGGGGAAGCTGACTTTGTGTCTGCTCTGGAATGAGTGTGAAATGGGTCATAATGATTCCATTGTTCCCTTGGATGATCCTGATTCCTGTGATTGATTCCCAGAGGGTGAGCATTTCACTTTCCCAAGAGCAGATTCCAGTGTTTTTCCTCCTGCACCAACATGGATAAACCTCAAAAATCTGATACTGAGAGAAAAAAAAAAAAGCAAAATGTTGGTACATACAGATGATTCACTTCACATAAAATTGTAAAGCTGCAAAACTATATATTAAACATAGATATGCATGGGAATACCATCTAGGGATAGAGGTTCCCTTTGGGAAGGAAGGAAATGTGTTCGAGGAGGGGCTTCCATTGTATCTATAATATTCTTTCCTTATCTAGGCAGTGGTATGCTGTCACTTGATATTTATTTTCTATTCTTTGTGTATGCTGAAAATATTTCATAATAAAAGTGATTTAAGATGCATACTTTTCACCCACTGGTTAGGTACTAAAAGAGGCAGCAGATGCTTTTGATATGTGGGCATTTTACTTGCCTAATATGCCTATTGCAAATTTCCAGACTGTGCCCTATTTATCTCCTTAAAAAGTCCATTTCTATTCTGCACCCTGTCTATGTGGAACATTCAAAGAAAGTAATTGCTTTAAGCTCCAAGAAACTACTTTTTCTTTTAAATGCAAATAGATGGACTTACACATACAGGGAGACACAGTGATTTGGGGATGTCACATTATTTCACTTATCTATTCTGCAGAACAAACCAACCCTAAGACAATGGCTTAAAACAAAATGATTTATTATTTCTCACAATATGGGTGCGCTGGCTGGGTGTTTGTCCTGCTGGTCTCACCAGGGCTCATGTGTGCGGGTTGCTTTCAGCTGGAGCTTAACTGAGCTGGAAGATCTAAAATGGTCTCACTCATGGCTGGCAGTTGGTGCTGCATGTCAGCTGGAGCAGCTTGGTTCTCCAGGTGGCCTCTCAGCCTCGCACTGGCTTCCTGTGTAGCATATTCAGGACAGAATTTCAATAAACAAAAGCAGAAGCTATAGATTCTTTTAAGATCTGGGTCCCTGAACTCACAGGGGGTCAATTTAGGCACATATTGTTCAAAGAAAGTCACAAGGCTAACACAGATTCAAAGGATAGAAAAAATAGATTTTGCCTCTTAGTGAGAGGGGCTTAAAATCTCTGGTCATATTTAACTACCCACACATACATTAAAATATTTAATTAATATTTTAAAATACATAAAATGCACAATAAACTCAGAAAAGATAGTCTCAATTTCCACAACTTCCCTCAATTGGTTAAAAAAAAGAAAGGCATCTATCATTCAATTATTGCCCCCTTCCAAATGCAGAAGTCTGAATTCCCTTTGAACCTAGATAAAGTTCCCTTTTTTAATGGAAAAATAAAGAAGCTGGGGAAACTAACCTACCTTTTAGAGGGAATGATGAAACCCAGGTCTCCCCAGCCGGGAGCATATGGTACTGCTTGATGTTTAACTGTGTCAGCTCTGGATAAGAGGGATGGCAGGACTTTAGAGTTGAAGACAGAGCATCATCTATTTTCTAAACTAATTTTTGGCCAACGTGGAATTTTGTGTTTTAGGAAGATGATTCGAAGGGCACAAAATAAAGCTAAGAGGAACATAGATGAGCAAAAGGGGAGGCAGCTATAATAGGACACCAGATGGAAAGGTTTCCACCACTGCCTGAGGATAGCTGGGGTGTTAATTAGATGCTATTATGACTTGTATTAAGAGAGGAAAAGAATGTCAGCTTTGTGCCACAGACAAAATATATGAAATAATAAGGGGAAAGGGGACACATCTAGAGTAAAAGAATATTAAACTTTAAAAGTGGAATTTGAAAAAGAGCTTCACTTCCAAGAAAAAAAGAAAATAGTATAATTTTGAAAGCAAGTATTTGAAACAACTGCTATTGTACTAGTTTGTTTATGCTGCTGTAACAGAATACCACAGACTGGATAACTTATAAAGGAAAAAAATTTACTTCTCTCAGTTCTGGAGGCTGGGAAGTCCAAGATCAAGGTGCCAACAGTCTCTGTGTCTGGTGAGAACCAGAATCTGCTTCCAAGATGGCAACTTGGATGCTGTGTTCTCTGAAGGGGAAGAAAGCTGTATCCTCAGTGGCATAAGACAAAAGGGTCAAACCCTTTGGTAGGAGCACCTAATCACATTCTCAGGATGGAGACCTGATGGCCTGATCACCTCTTAAATGTCCTGGTTTTTGTTTTTTATTTTTTTAAATATTACTACATTGGCAACACTTGAATTTTGGGGAGGACATATTCAAACCATATCAATCCCTGAACCTTAATCCCCATAGGTGAGACTGTATTCAGTTAAAGAAAACATGTTTTAGAAGTCAGGTCTCAGGAGGTCACTGATGAAAGAGTGCAATTTTATTGAGGAGATGACTGATGACCCCTGTGGATTAAAGAGCATAGAATAAAATCATGGGCTAGGGACCCTGGCTGAAAGCAAGGGCAAAATGTAAGCCAAGTGAAAACACTCCAAGCTGCAGGCAGCAGAAAAGGGTGTTGTCTCTCTGTGTAAGAATAAAGGGAAAAGGAAAAGGAAGGACCTGAGACTTCTTGATCCTGGACACACAACCCAAACATGCCTATGGACACTCACAAAGCACTCTGGGCAGAGATACTTAGGAGCCTGGCTGCTTTGGAGTCCTAACCTAGCCCTCACTAGCTATTTGACCTTGAGTGAGTCAGATGACCTCTCTGAATTTCAAGTTTTTATCTGTAAAATGGGAGAACAAGTTGATGCACAGGGTATCTGGCATGCAATAAGGGCTCAGTACTTAAAGTTCAGTATTGAGTTCCTGAACCCTTCCTGGAAGGTTTAAGTTCATACTGTGTTATCACATTTCCTGTCTCCTAACCAGCTCTGACATTTAAACTCATAAAACACAGGCCCTGACTTAAGCATAGCAGCTTTGGGACTGCCAATAGGAGTGGTGAATAGTTTTCCTTCTCGCCAGGATTCAGCTGACTTAGTAGCAAACATCAGCATGGCTTCAACTTTTAAGCATTTATTGCATTAGGAAGCAAAGCAAAAGTCTCAGTCAATTTTCAAGTGTCATCTGCAGGACTGCAACTGTACTCTGCTAGCTTTCTTAATGTAGATTTTCCTTCCCAGGAAGGCTTTAAAGATAATTTAGATATCTATTTATCTAAGCGCTCTTTGCCAGAAGATAAGAGGATAGAGAGAATAACATGTTGAGTTTTATTTTTAAGCCTAACATAATCCTCAGGAGTGGTTAATTTGCTTTACAAATAATTGTTGAACATTTACTATGTTCCAGTAAATACAAATGCTGAGGTGAGACAAAAGCAAGTAAAACAGTCCTTGCTCTTGAAGAGTTTATGCTCGAAAGGGAACCAGAACTAGTACACAAATGATAACCCTTGACCTGGGGATGTAGCTCAAGAGGTAATACGCTCGCCTGGCATGCACGGGGCACTGGGTTCGATCCTCAGCATCACATAAAAATAAAGATGTTGTGTCCACCGAAAACTGAAAAATAAATATTAAAAAAATTCTCTCTCTCTCATCTCTCTCTCTCATCTCTCTCTCTCTATCTTTAAAAAAAAAAAAAGATAATCCTCAAGGCATGACATTCTAAGGACTACAGAACAGGTAGTGATAAGTTGAATCAGGGGTTGCAAAGGAAGGATAGCATTTTTTTCTATTTTTTTTTTTTACATCAGCAACATTCTAAAAACAGCAAGAGCCTGATAAGTTCTAATTTTCCTTTCTCTGAGTTTTTTTAATACATTCATACATTTATGTGATTTTATGGTGTAGTCATGATAAGTTTTGTGTTCTTCTAAGTATTGTGTTATAAGCATGTCCTTTTGCCAAACTGTTTTCATCATCATAATTCCCATCTGTCATGAGTGTGATCGCCTTTAGTATCTCCCATTGTAAGATAGATAAGCTATTTCCAGCCTTTTCACAGTTAAAAATTCCTGGGTTAGGGTATCTTTATGCATGTAGCTCTTTTCTTCATTAGTATCATTTTGTTTAGTTCAGCTCTGCAAAGTAGGGTTGATGGGGGTCAAAGGGCATGAGTATTTCTACTTTTTAAAATATATATTATTCGGGCTGGGGATGTGGCTCAGTGGTAGAGTGCTTGCCTAGCACGTTTGAGGCCTTAGGTTCAATCCTCAGCACCACATAAAAATAAATAAAATAAAGGTATTGTGTCCAACTACAACTTTAAAAAAATGAATTTTATATATATGTATATATACGCTGATGTTTGCCACCCTGTCTCACCTCAGCATATATATATATATATATATATATAAAATTCCATTGTTTTCCAAAAAAGTTTGGGTCCATGTGTTAGGCACTGTTCTCCATGGAGAATCAATAGAATGTAGAGATACACAGAAAGAGGTTTATCTGAGGGGTTGGCTGTTCTGGAGAAGTCCCACAATCTGCCATCTGCAAGCTGGAGGCCCAGGAAAGTTGATGGTATAGTTCCAATCTAAGTCCAGAGAACCAAGAGTGCTAGTGTCTGAGGGAAGACATGATGTCCCAGTTCAAGCAGAGAGCAAATTCACTCTTCTTCTGCCTTTTTTTTTTCCTAGCTGTGTCCTCAACAGATTGGATGATGCCTACCTACCATGGTAAGGGTGGATCTTCCTTATTCAGTCTTCCAATTCAAATGCTCATCTCTTCCAGGAATACCTCACAGACACAACCATAAATAATTTTACCAGCTCTCTGAGGGATTCCTTGGTCCAGTCAAATTAACACATAAAATTAACCATCCCAGCCCATTTACAATGTCACCAGCAATAGATGTGTCTGTTTTGTCAAAACAATGTCAGCACTGGTAAGTTGGTTTGGGATTTTTACTAACCTGCTATAATGTCATAGCTATTCCATGATGCCTCCTTGTTATTTGAATTCACATTTCCCTGATAACTATTTTCCCATATCTTTCCTGGTTATATCTCTTAGGTAATTTGCCTGTTCACAACAAATGAGCAATATTTTCACTGGCAACAAACAGCCTAGTCAGGCATAGAGTTAGGACAGTACAGTGTATTAAAGAAAACAGATGCAGGTTATACAAAAAGATAATCAGTGGAGGTCAACTAGAAAGGAAAAATGGACACCAGTATGTGACAAAGTTTTTTTTTAACCCTATGGGTTTTTCCTTTTTAGGGGGTGGCGGGGGAGAAGGTATTAGAGATTGAAACCAGGGGCACTCTACCACTGAGCTATATCCCCAGAGTAGCCTCAAAATAAATTTTTATTTTGATACAGGTACTCATTAACTTGCCCAGGCTGGCCTCAAACTTGCAATCCTCCTGTCTAAGCCTCCCAAGTCACTGGGCCTACAGGTATGTGACACCACTCCTGGGTCCTATAGTGGTTTTCAGTTTAATTTGTACAATTGTCCTCATAGGAATAAACAACTGAAGTTCCCTGTCTCTTTTAACTCTGATGAACCTAAGGGATAGAAGAGCCAACTCCACGTGTCCCTGTCACTTCTAATATAAGTCCTTAACCCCCTTTCTTCTTCACCTGGAACCTGCTGATTCCTGTGGCTTTTGCTCTGCCTGGCTCTTGCTCACTTGATCCACCTCCTCCCTCTTCAGCTTCACATTTCTGGAATCCCTGTTCTATCCTACTGATGTGGACTCTGCCCACCTGATTCAGCCCAGGGCCCAGTGATTCTGGGTATTAGATCCCCAGGTTCTGCACTCTTCTTGGGTTCCTTTGGGGATGTGTTCCATCTTCCAGGAGGGTTAAAAACTATGAGCACCTTAGAGGAGTACTCAGTATCTTTTCTCCTCTACCAGGAAACAACAAGATTGTCTGAAAAAGACCACAGAGGAGAGGGTATGTTGCCCTTTGAGAAAACACCTCGTCTTAGTTCCTGAGCTCTACTAAGCCTGAAGTGCTTCCTGCCCCACAGAACTGATGGGCCTTCTGAAGAATCCTCCCCCCAGCCAGCATTTCCTAGCCATAGGAAAAAGAAGCAAAAGCTGACAAACAGCACTTTTTCCTTTCCATAACGAGAACATTGAGCATCAGGCTCCAAGCTCTCAGATATATCCATGTACTCAGGGCTGTTCTGTCCAACCAGATCCGCAGACCAGAGATCCCTTTCAGACATCTGTGGCTCAAACCACAAGTCTCCTACTGCCCACCTGGGTGAGGAACAACCATTCCTCCTGGGCAGGCAGAGGAGAGGCCAACCCTGTGCCCACAGAGTACAGGCACAACAGCCTCCCCATTAGTGGGGTCTTGATGGAAAGGGCTGCACCCAGGGGTTTGGGGTTGAGGCATGAGCTTGGCCACACTTTGTTTTCCTGAAAGCATCTGTGGCTTATACCCTCGTTAGAGGTCTTGCTGAAGGTGGTATCACTGAATCCCAGTGGCCACTGATGAGCTGCTTCCTGAGAGCACAGTGTTCTTCCCTACCCACAAAGCCAATGTCATTCCCTCTAAATGCTCTCAAAATGGGAGATGGGGGAAATGTGAGGTTTTTTGGCTCTGGGTGCTCTGTGTGGACAAGCACCACTCTGTCTCCATAGCAGGACAATGTGAACTCATGTCTGTGGCAGCCTTTTGCAAACAGCAGAGAAAGAGCTATACACGTGTAAGGGATGATGACTGGGACTTCTAGCACTAGCCACATCCCTTACAGCCTCCCTGGTGTTGGAGGACTATCCACAGACTATAACATGTTTTGATATTTAAGCAGATTGCCTGGCTCATCCTCTTGGTTTCTCAGCCCTTCCTTTTTTTTTTCAGACAAAACTGTATTAAATCACGTCCTCATCAAACTGAATAGATACCCCCAGCCAGGGTCTAGCATGGGCTGTGACAATGATGCCATTCAGATTCTCAGTGCATCCTTACATTTGCCTCACATGCACCCTGAAGAGAATTTTGGCAGCTCCAAAATAGAAAAAAAAATGCTTTTGATCCTGGACTACAGTTGGCTCTCTTATTATGGGAGAGCAATTATTAACTTGTTTTAACTTGACATTTAAAAACATCTCAGTATCTGTTTTTTATTATCTATATCACACTAGACAGTTCAGGACAAGTGGAGGCAAAAGCTAAGCTTTAAACATTATCTTAGGGACCAGCTGGAGGAAAATAAGAAAAGAACAATCCCATCAACATGTATTAAGTGCCTCCCTCCACTAGACACTGCACATTCTCATTCTCACAATAACAAGAGGACCTATTATCACCATTTTAAAAACAGATACTTTGGTTTATGGAATCACCAATATTTTATTTAAATTTTAAGATGAAATAGAAACTAAACTTTATCAATGCAATAGTTTGGGAGACACATCTCCCCACCAAAACAGAAACTCTAGCAAACGTCTTGACTTCACAATTCTTATATTTTCTCTGGATACTTCCCATCTGTTTTTCCTTTGGCAGGCCACCCATGACATTTGCAGGAGGTCGGCCAAGAGTTTAAATGGGCACTCCCTGGCCCACAGCTCCTAATGCTTCCCTGTATACCCCTGGTTCTTATTTCTGGTTCTTATTACAAAGAACCTTGAATGCATGTGTGCCTGACAACCTTGTCCAAGCTTCATTCATGTGTCCCCACCATCAAAGGACTGTCTTTGGCTACCTCTTGAAAGTGTGCAAATCAGATGCATGGCCCACCTTGGGGAGGATGAATTTAGGGAAGACTTCATAAAAAGCCCTGGAAGGGGTTTGGAACCCTGAAAGCCAAGAATTCAAGAGCCCCGGGGTCCTAAAGTTTGATCTCTCCTTGACTCTTCCTAGGCTGCTTGTTCTCACTCCACGAGGAGGGGCCCAGCTAGAGGAAGACCTGAGCAGAGGATCCTATAAAGCAGAGGAAACAAGACAAGGCCATCAACTGCCCTGATCTAAGGGCGATGCAGCCTCTGTGTTTATTCCTGCCTGTCAATGCCATATCAGCTGGGAAGTTCAGGGCAGAAGATTTGGTTACCCTGGGGTCAGTAAAGGATCTTAAGGTGGAATTCAGAGGACCCAATGCCTTCCCCACCTTAAAAAAAAAAGAAAAGAAAAAAAATTCCTCTAATACTAAAACCTTGTCTGTTATATGTTTTGTTCAAGAAAAAAAAAAGTTACCCTAAGACTGGAATGCCTCCATTTTTACTGTACATTAATAAGGCAACATTCAGTTGGAAAATATCAAAGCAACTTGGAACAGACAAATCAGGGACAAGAAAGTCTCTCTGTGTTCAGGGGTTGGAGAGAGAGAGAGAGAGAGAGAGAGAGAGAGAAATGATGTTGAGGTCAGATGTCCCTGCTGTCTGAGGATGCAGTCCCTTCCTCTGAGGATGCAGCCTCCCTCCCTGGGGAAGGCAGAACGAGGACTGCTTCATGCAGGGGCAAGGTGAGCTCTGGGTGTGCGATATCAAAGACCCGAATGAACAAATCAGATATTGGGCTTCTAAGGTCCAGACTTTCCAAGAGAAAATAAGCCCTGGCATTTTCAGGAGATCCAACATGCAGACATGGCAGGGAGTTAAGAGTTTTCTAAACCTAGCCGCCTCAAAGCAGTGAGCCAAACCTGTCAGTGAGAAAATGAGGACGGAGTTTCAAAAAGAGAAGGGAAACTCATTTAAACTAGCTACAGGCAATCGTGTTTGATGCTAGATGTGTGCTTTCTAAGAAGTCTGTGCATCCATGCTAAATAGGAGGAAAGTACTTGATTCAGGGCTTCTCAAAGTTTCTAATGAAGGACCTCTAATGACAGAGCCCAGGACCTTGCACTGAGGAGCCTGGGGTTATGGTCTCAAAGTTACCCTGAAAAAATGGATAAATAATTCTAAGTTTTGCATTTTTTTTTCAAAGTGTAAGTAGTTGTGCATTTGCTTCCATTAAAATCCTCATTTGATGAAAAGCTTAGGGTTGCAGAGTCATTTGGGTCATTAGGTGTGAAGCTTCTGCTTAGAAAGGGAAGTCTGAAGCAGGGAAGTGAGCCAAATTCTGGCCAGATATGGTGACTGATGAATCGCCTAAAAGACTAGCTTCTGTCAGGACACATGGGGACAGAAATTGCTGGTGTCGGATGTGAAAGTTTCTGCTTTTGAGCTGTAACTCAAAAGGCTTGTTTGCCTAAAGCCTCAGCCAGGTCTTGTACCCCTGCTTGCCTTGTCTGAGAAATGCCCTAGAGTCAGAGAGGTCTGAGTCTACCCTTGTGGGAAAAGGGGAAGAATTTTCTAGAAGCCCAGCAGTGACCAACAGGAAGGAAGAGACCATCACCTGGCAAACAAGCTACACATCACCTGGAAATAGAAACCTGGCACCCAGAATCCTGAGAAGGAGGCAAAGCTTTTAGAATTAGGTGAGATGGGAGAGTGGTGCATGTTCTAGAGTTTGGATCTTGAATGTCCCCCAAAGACCCACTCAGTCTCCTAAAGTGGCACCACCATGAAGTGGTGAAGTATTTAGGAGGTGGGGCCTAGAGGAAGGAAGTTAGGTGGTTGGGGGCGTGCCTTTAAAGGAGTTATTGGGACCTCAGTCTCTTCTTTCTTCCTCTTCCCAGCCACCATGAGGAGAGCAGCTTCACTCTACCACATGCTCCCTGCCATGAAACCTTACCACAGTTCTGAAAGCAACAGAGCCAAGGGACTATGGACTGAAATCTCTGGTCATGAGCCAAAATAAACCTTTCCTCCTATTAAGTTGATTATCTCAGGTATTTTTGTTAAAGTGACAAAAATCTGACTAACATATATCAAGGCTGCCATCAGTAAATAGGGTGCTGTCATGCAAACTACAAAAAGAGAGGGCCCCTCTGAGCACTCCTCCCCCCAGTACTACACCTGTTACTTGGCTGCTTTCAACACCCACTTGTCACCTTGCTTATGTGCCTGCACATATTGCACAAAATGTAATTATAGAACAGTACTGGTTGAATGTTAAAGAAAAGGTTGATCCTTAAGAGAACTTGTAAACACTTGGGTTCCAAAAATAACATTTCCCATAAACCTAGTAAAATTTGTGCTGTAGCTCAAGGACTCAGCAAGCTCCAGCCAGCAGACTAAATCTAGCTTAGCACCTGGCTTCATATATAAAGTTTTATTGGTATGCAGCTGTGCTCACTCACTTAGATATTGTTGTGGCTGCTTTCCCACTGCCATGGCCATGGTGCATATAGGTGCTACAGAAACCATCAAACCTGCAAAGGCTAAGATTTTTAGCTTCTGTCCCCTTATAAAAAGTTTGCCAGGGGCTGGAATTGTGGCTCAGCGGTAGAGCACTCGCCTAGGACTGCAGGACCCGGGTTTGATTCTCAGCACCACAAAAAAATAAAGGCATTGTATTGTGTCCATCTACAAAAAAAAAAGATTCATTTTCTCTCTCTGTGGCTTTTGCATACCTGTTGGCCCACTGCTGAGTGCCTCTAGAAAATAAAAGAGCAATAATCCAGTTTGAAAAGCCCAGTCTCTACCTATTATATATAGAGGGCCTATCCTCCTCCAGTCTGACCCCATTTTTAGTTACATCTGCAAACAAATCACATCTTACTAAAACTATTCTTAAGAAGTGACTTGAGCAGATCTCAAGATTACCCAGTAGAGCTCCCTTACATTAGTGAAGCACTTTAGAGCATAAAACATCTTTTTCTCATTCCCCACTGCAAGTTTTGTAACAAACACAAACAAATGTCTGGGGCTGCCACAAACAAACGTCTGAGGCTACTAAAAACCAGGAGAGACAAGAAAGGATCCTCCCCTACAAGCTCCCAAGGAATCTTGACCCTGCCAGTACTTTGATTTTTATCTTCTGACCTACAGAATGCAGCACATCATGAGCTATATCCCTCGCTCTTTTTGTTTTTTACTTTGAGAGGTGGTCTCACAGAGTTGCCAAGGGGGATCTCTAATTTACAATCCTCTTGCCTCTGCCTCCAGAGTAGCTGGGATTACACATGTGTACCATCACACCTGGTTTATTAATTTTTTTTAAAGGTGAATTTAAAGTGTTTTGAAGACAGTACAATATTAGTCACCTTTGCATCATCAAAACAAAATAATGGATATGACTATGAAATGAAGAGAATATAATTTTGGCTCATAGACTATGAAATGAAGAGAATATAATTTTTGCTCACATTTCTAGAGGTCTGATCCAAATCAGGCAGCACCATTGCTTTGGGACTTTGATAAGGACAGCACATCATGGCAGGGGTATGTGTCAGAGCAAGCCATCCCATTCCAAGCCTGGAACAGAGGGAGATGGAGAGACTAAAGTCTCACAATCCCCTTCAAGGACACACATCCAAGGACCTAAGGACCTCCCACTAGGCTCCACCTCTTTAAGGTCCACAGTGCCTCTCTGAAGACCAAGATTTTATAGAAGGATGTTTGGAGAGCAATTACCAAATCACAGCAAAGCCCAGGAGGGCCTAAGTCTCCAAGAAGGACAAGACCGGTGCAGAAGGACTTGTATAGACTCAGCCTGATGATCAGATAACAGATGAGGAATGTGGATGTTCCAGAAGCTGCCAGCATATTCTGGACCAAAGGCTAGTCAAGATGGTTTATATTTTAGGGAATAAAAAGAGCAGGAGTCTGTCTTCCTATGGAAATGACAATTAGGCAATCATAGGCTGAGAACTCTCCAGGGAGGGTACAAAGGAAGGACTGACTTGAGCAAACTTAAAACTGAAATGACCGGGAAGCACATTCAAATGCCTGGATCTGCCTGGAATTGACTATTTTGTTGTTGTTGTTGTTGTTATTTGAATCTAGCCAGGAGTCAAAATAGGAGTTCAATGTTTAAATTATGGCCTAGTATGGTGGTGCACACCTGAAATTCAAGCTACTTGGGAGGCTAAGGCTGGAGGATCACAAGCTGAAGGCTGGCTTTAGCAACTTAATGAGATTCTGCCTCAAAATAAAAAAATAAAAAGGGCTGGGGGTGTCTTTCAGTGATGAAAGGCCTTAGACTCAATCTCCAATACTGAAAAAAAAAGTTAAATTACAGGAAAAAAATTAGATTTAGGGGGCAAATACCCAAGGTTATAGCCTGGGAAATATTACACTCTAACGTATAAGATTTGGCTTAGTCCTCTCAACCACACCTACAAGATCAGTATCATCCCCATTTTACAAAAGGGAAAATCAAGTTCTAGAGAATTTCAATGACTTACTATTATACAACTTCTCAGTGGTAGAGCTGGGATTTAAATCTAGGTGCATCTAGACTCCAAAGCTGATGTTTCTTCAAGACTCCAAATTCCCTTTTGATCAGGGTTTGTTTCAGCATTTCTAGAGAAGTCCACACATCTATGATTGGTTTTTCAGGACCAGATTATGCTCCTGGATTGAGGATAACAGTCAGAAAGGGGAGAAATTGGAGAAATTTAAAGAATCTCTGTCTCCCTTCTGAAAGAAGGGCCTCTTTTCTAACTGGTTCCCTCTCCCTTCAACATGATCTCCCACTCCACTCTTATTCCAGCCAACCTGCATTTTGGGGAACCTGATTCAAAATGGTTTGAGTTGACAGGATGGCCACACTTCATGCAACAGGTTGTCTGCTGTTCCTAGAATTTGCTGAAGAGACGATGATGATCTGGATGTGCCTCAATGGTAATTTTCCTTGAAGGTGAATGACAGATAAGGTCTTAGTCATTCTCCTAATTTATGATGGATTATATCATTTCTTTATATTTCAACCTTCTATGCTTGAGTCACTCAGACATGTCTCTAGGACTAGACTCAAAAGCAAGTCTCCTCTTAGTCACAGGCTGTTCTCTCAGCTTGACTTCAAATCCAAAGGTTCTGCTCCTGATCAGTTCTGTGGCAAAAATGTATAGATGGCTTATATAAAAATAAAAAGGATGACTGAGACCATGGAAACTGGATATCTTTGACCTAATTATGGTTATTAATAGGAGGACTTTGTGTTTGCCAAACATTTCCTTTCCCTCATTCTCCAGAGGCTGTGAGTTCATCTTCTCTGTCTCCATGTTTTGGTCTATTATCTTGCCCTGCAGGAGCCTTAACTCATTGTCACTTGCCCCATTCCTGTACCTTCTGTTCCAAATGAATGGATCTTCATGGGCTGATTATCTATATTTTTGTTCTATTAATTCTTTAGAGAGGAATTTTAAAATCTCAAACTATAATTGTGGATTTTTCTATAACTCCTTGTACTTCTATCAGTTTTCAATTCATGTATTTTGGGTTTTTTTAATATTTATTTTTTAGGTGTAGATGGACACAACACAATGTCTTTATTTTTATGTGGTGCTGAGGATCAAACCCGGGTCCCGCCTGTGCTAGGCAAGCGCTCTACCACTGAGCCATAATCCCAGCCCCAACTTCATGTATTTTGAATAAGTTGTGAGGTGTATAAATAATTAGAATTATTATGTCATCTTGATGAGTTGACCCCTTGTCATTATGAAATTACCCTCTTTATCCATAGTAATATTCTTTGCTCTAAAATCTTCTTTACTTGGTATTAATGTAACCACTTCAGTTTTCTTTTGACCAGCATTAGCATTGTAGATCTTCTCATCCCTTTACTTCTAACATATTTGTGTTTTTTTTGTTTAAAATGGATTTCTTGTAGATGACACATAATTGAACTTTTAAAAATTCAACATGGCAATATCTGCTTTAATTTAATTCATTTACACTTATTGTGATTATTGATATGGTTGGCTTTTTTGGAGTACCAGGGATTGAACTCAGGGGCACTAGACCACTGAGCCACATCCCCAGTTCTATTTTGTATTTTATTTGGAGACAGGGTCTCAATGAGTTGCTTAGCACCTTGCTTTTACTGAGGCTGACTTTGATTTTGGATCTTCTTGCCTCAGCCTCCTGAGCCACTGGGATTATAGGCATGCACCACTGCGCCCGGGTGATATGGTTGGCTTTTAATCTGTTATTTTGCTATGTGCTTTCTTTTTTCCTATCTTGTGTGCATGAGTGTGTGGGCGTGTGTGTGTGTGTGTGTGTGTGTGTGTGTATGTGTGGTACTAGGGATTGAACCCAAGGCCTTGCACATACAACCACTGCACTAAATCCCCAATCCTTTTTATTCTTATTTTGAGACAGGATCTTACTAAGTTGTCCAAGCTGGCTTTGAACGTGGAATCCTCCTGTTTCAGCCTCCCAAGTAGCTCAGATTACAAGTGTGCACCACCTAACCAGGACTTCTTATCTATTGATAATCATTTTTCTTTGTTGTTATTTCTGTTTTTTAACTAGGTGGGTATTTTTCATGATTATCTCTTTCTAGAGAACCTGGCCTGAGATGATTATAAAGCAAATGACCAAGGGGGGCAACTAACTGGAGCTTAATCCCACTAGAAAACCTGAGGAAGCGTGTAGAGCAATGCCTCAGAATTATCTTCTCCAGGGAGCAGGGGAGCTGTATATGTATCCAACAACTCCCATCCAGTCTTTGGTGAGGAATGTTAAATCCCAGCCTTTTGGGCCTGCCCCAGATGACAATAGAGCATCTCCACCTGTCAAAGAGCAGTGTAGAGCCAGGCCTGTGAGAGGGAGAGGATGAGTGCTAAGAAGATATATGTGGGTGAGACACCAAGAGGAAGCACAGAACAGAATGGTGAACAGCAGTAAAAATGGATGAACTATTGGCATCAATATGGATCAATCTCACCCAAACAATATTGAATAAAACAAGCAAGTTGTAAAAGAATATAAATGATGAGCATAGTATAAATCATAGAAAAAAATGAATCATGCAAAACAAGAATAAATCTGAGAGAGAGAGAGTAGAAAAACATGATGAACAGTAAATTTAGGAGAGTCATAACCACCAACAAAGAGGGAGGAATGGGAACAGTTTGGAGTACACATAGGAGGCCTTTCCTGTATTTTAAATGTTTTATTTTTCTATACTGAGTAGAAAGTACACAAATGACCAGACCATTTTATTATATTCTGGAATTTTTTTTGTATGCTTAAAACTTTTCAAAATAAAAATGGTAATGAACAAGAAAAATCTTATTAAAGGAGTCCAAATGATCTGAAAGAAATGGGTACAGGCCATTAGGAAGAAAATTAATTGTTTTGCTTTGCTTTTAACTAAAACTAGCATGAAAGGGGTACAAGAAAATGTAATCAGAGAGAAAGAGAGAGAAACAATAGGAGCTACAACCAGAGTTGAAATACTTTCAACTTCGCATTTTTCTTATTCTTTGAGTTTTTAAACTCAATCAGGCACTGTTTTTGTTTGTTTTAATTCCAGCCACTGCTTTTAAAAAAAATAAAAACATCTGTAATTTCATTGATCTAACACTACTATTTCCATTTTCACTAATTCCTTTCTGAACTTAACCCACATGCCAACATTCTTTGCTTAGTTCCAATTATATTGCATTTGTATTTAATACTTCGCTTTTTTATACTCATTCATATATACTATGTCCATCAATGTTTCTCCATTTGTCTATAGTTGAAATAGTTATCATTTTCATGGCTACATAATGCTCCATCTTGCTGATGTATAGTACTTTACCAGCCATTTCTTTATTTTGGACCGTTATGTTGCTTTTAAACTTTAGATATTGAAATAACTTTGTGATAAATATACTTGTGGAGGTTTTTGTTTATGTTAAATATAGCCTTAGCAGAAATCCAGAGGTACAATTACTAAGTCAGAGGGTGTGACTATCTGCGTGGCCTTTGCCATGTAACACACAGAATTCTCCCTTTGACCATGGCTGTTTACTTAAAGCCCCAGGTCCTCCCAAATGCCTAGGAATCTACATTTTTACATAATCTATTTTGGGCTTGTATTTGTTTTACTAAGTTGTTAGGAGAGTAAAGAAGACAACTGGGAGCAGATGGGAAATTTTCAGTTCTAAGAGGCATGGAGAATTTTGGAGCAAGGCAGAACAGATTTCTAATCCTGACTTTGCTACTGGTGAATTGTATGACCTTAGGAAAGTGACTTCCCCTCTCTAAGATGCCAGTATGTCCTTGCTGCCAGTATGTCTTCCTCAAGGGTTTGTGCCAAGGATGAAACAAGAAAATGCAAGCCATGTACTGGCTGCAGTGGCTGATGTAAGGGGAGTGCTTAGCAGATAGGGAGAGCTCCTCGGAGCAGCAGAAACCCCTGTGCAGACTGCACACAGAGGGTGGAGCTCAGCCTGTAGAGGGGAGGAGAGGAAAGCTAAATGGCTATAGCTTACTGGAGTCAGAGTAGACTCTGGGAGCAAGGGTTTGGGGGTATTTCCTGCCAGGTATTTCTCAATAGCTCTAATGCTGGTGAGAATATGTGAAGAAAGGCAAAGGAGTGAAAGAATGGAAATCATCTTTTTGGAGCTATCAGCCTATATTATCTCCTTTAGCTCTCAAATAAGAAGAAACTAGTGTGTATTGAGCACCTATTATTTCCCAGATACTTCACATGCACTTTGTCCTCAGAGAAAATGTTAGAGGTTAGGGTTAGGGTTTACCACTTCTAGAAGAGGTGAGGGGAAGCACAATTTGTAGAAAAGGGATTGTGAAATCATCTAAGTAGCCTAGGTTTGAATCCCAGACCTGACACATGCTAGCTAGGGACCTGCACCCAAGAGTGCTCATTTCTAAAAGGGGAAATGATTATCGTACTAGGAAGAGATCATTTCTGTAAAGCACCTGGCACAGAGTAGGCACCTGGTGTAACTTACCTGGGTCACTTACCTGGGTCATATCTAGAAAGTGGCAGCACAAGACTGGGGCCAGGTCTCCTGCCTCCAAATGTGATGTGATGTATCACATTTTATGTTTATGCAAATGCTCAAGGTCTGCATAACACAAAATATTTGAGAAATGCTTTTTCTATGGTGATTCAAGTAAAGGATTGTTGGGGCTTTTTGTGTTGTATTTTGAGTGTGCTGTAATCATGAAATTCATCTCTCCAGCCACTTCTAAAAGTTTTCCCTTATTCAGGGTTTTAAACAGATGGAAGCCCCAAAATATGGAAAGATTTGCTTTGGAGCAGAGCAGCAAGCCAGGAACAGAAACCCTGATGCCCAAAACTTTCCATTCCTTGGCTGATGACCTTCCCCAGAATTGCTGGGCATCCACACAAGATGACGCAAGTTCAGGGAAAAGTAAAACCTCATTTTAGAGCCTCAGGGATGTTCCTCTCCCCTGGTGAAACTGTTTGGTTAAGAGATAAGGAAACTGAGGCCCAGTCAGTCATGATGGTCACGACTGCTCCTGCCATCCATGTCTGAGACAAAATTACTAACCACCCTTGTGTTTCTGGTAAACAGTGTTTGAGGTTTCGCATCAATATGAGCGATCATATATGAGAACATTGCTGGCTGAGCAGGTAAATTACCACCTTGTGCAGTAACCTCTGCCTAGAGTGCGTTGTGGCTGGAGCTGTTCAGTTTCCACCCTGAACTGAATGTGAGATGCCCGTGGGCGCCACAGGCACACAGAGATCTGAACTGGGAGAAAGTTGTCCCTCTTGTTAACACAGAAGGAAACATTGTATAAGTACTTCTTCTTTCTGGGCCAGTCATAAAGTGGGGCTGCTTCTCAAACAGTTCCCCTTTGCAATGGTCCTTATATGAGGGGCTTACCCACCACGCTAGTGATCTTCAGCCTGGTGAAGCAGAGTAGGAACACTAGTAACCAAAGACCAGGCTTAAGGGACTAGCTCAGTGGGCTGCGGTTGTGGCTCAGAAGTAGAGCACTCACCTAGCATACGTGAGGCACTGGGCTTGATCCTCAGCACCACGCAAAGTAAAATAAAGACATTGTGTTCACCTATAACTAAACAATAAGTATTAAAAAAAAAAAAGAATTGGTTCAGCCCATAGCAAGTAACTTGTTTCATTGTTCTGAGCCTCAGTTATCCAGAAAATGGGCATACCTGGTCCTCTGGCTTTAAGTACAGCCCGGGGACTGATGCTTCCCAAGAGCAAATCTCCCACCCCAGTCCTTCTTCTGAGCTCTAGATTCCTATGATACAACTATCTCCGGGACCCATGTTCTTGAGACCTGCCTCAGTTCTCATTACTGTCACTTTCTGTGTGTCCTGGGATGTTATTAATTACAGCTACCATTGGGTGCACACTATATGCCAAGACCCTTACATAAATGACTTCTTCCCAGCACAGAAATATTCCCCATTCTACAATAACCAGTATGCCCCAAGTGGAATATTACAACTGCTGCCCCTAAACCTGGCCTCCCCTCATCTGCCACACCATCACTTTCCATCTACTGGCTCAGGCAGAGATCCAGCAGCCCTGAATTCTCTACTCCCCTGTTCCACACTTAGTCTAGCTGCAAAACACAACTAGAACCAAACTCTTTTTCACCCACCTTTTCTTTCTTTTTTTTTTTTTAAGTTGGTGTGTTAGTTATACGTAAAAGTGAAATTCATTGTGACATAGTCATTCAGGCACAAAATATGGTTTGGTCGATTTCATTCCCTTCTTCTTCCCCTTTCTCATCCCCTGCCCTTGATCTCCTTCCTCAACTCCACTGTTCTCCTTTCTATGTTCATCAGCTCCACACCCCCTCACTTTTAAAAATTCCTTACTTCTCTCTAGCTTCCACATATAAGAGAAAACATTCAACCCTTGACTTTCTGAGTCTGGCTTATTTCACTTAGTATTATATTCTCAAGTTCTATTCGTTTGCCAGAAAATGACATATTTTCTTTCCTCTTTATGGCTGAGTAAAACTCCATTCTGTATATATACATTTTCTTTATTCAATCCTCTACTGGAGGACACTTAGGCTGGTTCCATAACTCGATCATTGTGAATTGAACTGCCATAAACATTGGTATGCATATATTCCTGTGTTATACTGATTTTAGTTCTTTTAGATTCATACCAAGGAGTGGGATAGCTGGGTCACATCGTGGGTCTGTTCCTAGTCTTTTGAGGAATTTCCATACTGCTTTCCAAAGTTCACCACATATATTATTTCTATGTAATTCCCAGCACTTTTTTTGCTAGGAACTTATGGGGTCCTTTATCAGAATAATATTTTTAAGTGCATAAAATAAAACACAGAGGACTTTTAAGGAAACCAATCATATTGAAATATAGTGCCCAAAATATTTTAAAGAACAAATTTGTGATATATTAATGAATGTACTTCATGAATACCATATTAAATAAAAGATCTAGTGGCAAATCTAATAACTACTATAACTCCAAAGTCATGATGGATATAAACATTTCTAGATCCTGGCAGAGACTATATGTAATGTGATATTTAAAAATCTTGATTCCTAGTTGTGCCAAAGTCACAGGCATTGCTCACATGAATGTGTGTGGTAGCCTACATTTATCGTCAAAGGGATCTCCCCCAACCCCCAGCACTAGGAATTGAACCCAGGACCTCCTGCATGGTAGGCAAGCACTCTGCACTTAGCTACACCCTCTAAAATCAAGTTAGAGGTTAATGAATATAAAGGCACACACACACACACACACACACACACCACTTAGTGCATGTTGAAGTGCAAGAACTCCCTTAAAGCTGCCTGAGAACACCTGCGTCCACACAGCTGGACTCACTGGCCTGGGTTTCTGTAGCCTCCTGATGCATCTCCAGGCTTCCAATGTGGCCCTCAGGCTATTTTCGACACAGCAATTCCAATAACTACATATGTCATATGACTGCCCTGCTTCCAAGCAGCCAACAATGTCCCACCAACATAAATGACATCCAAAGTCCTCACCACAGCCAATAAGGCCCTCTGTGGTCTGGGCCATAGCTACCTCCCATCCTTGATTCTGCCATGTCCCCTCATTCATTTCACTCCACTATGCCCAATATCCACATGACTCCTTGGTCTTTGCCCAATATCCACATGACTCCTTCTCTTCCTTGGAGCCTCTATTCAAATGTTATCTCTTCAGAGAGGCCTTCTCTAACCACTCCCCACCCTCCACCCATCTAACATCCTTGGTCACTGTCTGTCCCCAGTCCTGCATCTATGTCCTACCTGAAGTGGATTATATATGCATCTGTGTCCTTGCTGTCTGCATGGCCCCTAGAACATAAGACTGTCCTCAACACTCAGAGGACAACACAGAGGGGCCTGCCACACAGGGGCTCAGTGCACATCTGTAGACTGAGTGAATGGAGAACCACAAGTTGCAAGAACTCTGGCAAGGGACAGGCAGCCAGAGCAGCTGTTGGAGGAGCTGGCACATGAACAGGATCCTGCTCATGTTTGTCCTCTGCTGCTGTACCTTTCTCTAGAACTTGGGTCTCCTCTTCACTCAGGCTGCCAGCAGACTCCCCACACCAAGGTCCACAGTGAGTCCAGGAGAGAACAGGGCACCAAGCAGAAGGAATCCTGCAGTAGCAAGCCCACCTCTCAGAAGGCACTGTCTGAACTCTGCTGCTACCCACAAGCCTCAGCGGCCCACACACTCTCCCTCCTCCCTGGATGAGTCTCCTTCCAAGGGAGGAGCCTGGAAAAACACCTTCTGGGAGGCAGGATAAGGAGGATAGGCTTTTGAATGTTGTGGTCCAGGGCCCAGTCCATTCTCTGTACGGACTCCAGGATGGGCTTGGCCAGTCTCATGTATGGTCTTACCCTGGCTTGGGCTCTTCTCACTCCTGGTCTGTCAAACCAGCTCCCAGTTTAGTAGAACTCCAACCACCATCCCCCTCTTCCAGCCAGCAAGCTGCCATGCCCAGAGCACTCATATAGCCACCTGAAGAATACCTGGCTGGACTCAGAAAAAACTAGCCCTCTGCTCCCATGTCCTCGCAAGTCTTGAAACAAACATAGGCAATGGCCTAGCTTAAGTCCCAGCCTGATTCACCAGATTTGGTTCCCAATTGTTGGAATTCCTTTCCCAGAGCTCTTGGGAACCAGGATAGAAGAGTGGTAAGTGAGGATGGCCCTGGGTCTGATGACAGGAAAACATAGGGGACAGTGAGGTCTTCCAGCAGGGCTAAGCTGAGGAGCAGATACCAGGCCAGAGCAGCAGGCCTGCCCCAGCTAAGGCCACCTTATCATGTGCAAGGCAAGAGAACAAATGCAGGCCACAGACCATATACCTCAATATTTAAGTCATGAGTCAGTCTAAGGTAACATGAGATAAAATATGTTCCATCCTCCTACCTTGACAAATACATCTTCAGAACAAGATGCAATGGCAGGTTCAGACCAAATTTCATGTTCCTCAAAGTCCAAAGTCCAAATATGGCAGCAGGTAAGAGCCCCAATCAGTTGGTTCCTCCCACTTTTCTTGTTTTCTCTTCACTCTCAGGTCCGTCTCACACCATGAGGGAGTTTGGGGGATCGTACCTCAACTACTAGTCTCCACCAACTTACATGTGCACCCCCACACCAACAGTGGCCCTGGGACAAGGACAAGCACAGCAGGACCACTGTCTGCCCTCAACTGGAGAGATGCAAGGGAGGCACATGGGCCCTGAAAGTGGATTCGGGGAGCCTTGAGCAGGGAATTTGAGACTTTTTGGTATTCCAAGAATGGTCTGGTACAGGCACAAGTCACTTAGCCTGTGAACTCCTCACCCAGGGATTAGGGTAGCACTGGAGGAGGGCCCGAGGAGGCCTGGAAAACCAAAGTCCACCAGCAAGTGCTCCTGGTGCCCTGGTCTAAGGGCAGTGCCACCCCAGTCTACCTGACAGAGCAGGCCACTTTGGGAGGGTGCAAAGGAGTGGAGCCAGGAAACTGGCCCAAGTTACTGGGAAAGGGAAGTAAAACCCTTTTAAATGCTAAGGACACCTGTTAAAGCTTCAGAGGCAGATCCAGCTCATTTGAGGCTATTTCTAAAACTCTACCCTCAAAGGAAGATTTTATTCTCACTGAGGATCTGAAAGAGAATCTTCTACTAGTAGCTTCACAATCTTTATTGTAAAAACTCTATCCTGTTGGTTAAAAAAGTAGGCTTTATTACTTGATAGTTTTACCCCTTATAAATTATTCCATCCAGTTTTTAAACAAGAATAGAGCATTCATATGAAAATGAAGCTTGAGTTGTTTTAACCTTGTTTTTTAGTTATAACCAGATTAAAGAAGACCCACCAGGGGAAATAAAAATAAAAAGACAATGTGATTTAAAAATAAATGCAAAGGGCTGGGGTTGTGGCTCAGTGGTAGAGCATTCACCTAGCACAAGTGAAGCACTGGGTTCCATCCTCAGAACCACATAAAGATAAATAAGTAAAAGGTGTTATGTCTATCTACAACTAAAAAAAAATATTTTAAAATATAAATGCAAACAGATAAAAGAAGAAACAAACATGTATGCACAGACAGATCAGAAGCATACAAAGACCTACCTACACAGATAAATATACTCACACTGGTGCTTTTTAGACACTGTTTCCAAAGATTTTGAGACCATGCCACATTTTTGCAAGCATAGACACCAACAACAATATCATCTCTAAGTACCTGCCCTGTAAGTTGTGTGAACTTGCTTTCTGACCAACTCTCAACCTTTTCTAGAACTACCTGGGCAGGATCCAGTCCCAGATTGTGGAGGTGGTTCATCTTAAATGATGGTCACATAAAAACATTAAGCAAGTGGTTGGAGTCAAGTCTTCTGAATCACCAGGATTCTCTTTTGGTCCCTAAATCAATCTGTTAGCCATAAACAAGAATTTTTAGATAGGACTGCAACCTTTTAAAGTGTGATATCCATATTTTCTCAGATGGTCCTCTGCCCCTCCTTAGATACAGATCAGGAAATGGAGGGAGAGAACAGTAAAGCTGCTTGTCTGCAGTTTGAGAGCAAGTTAGTTACTGGCAGAGTCAAGACAAGAAGCAGGAAGAACCCAGGTCTCCTGTCTCCAGGTACCATGTGCTTCCTGCCAGCCTCCCTCTCCCCACCAACCCCAATTCATTGTCACTGGGAAAAAACTGGCTGTTTCATGCTCCGGAGGCCTCAGGACTCAGACAGCTAAGTCACACAGTGACCAACATGGAGGCTGCTCTCTGGGCTCTCTTGATGAAGGGACATTGGCATACTCAGCTGTATGGAGCAGGAAAGAACCAATAAGCAGCTCTAGGAGGACCTGTTTTTGAGAAGCAGAGAAAAATGGGGCAATAGTGCCTTGAAATTAAACGTATGGCATTCAGGTGGGCTGAATATGGAAACAAAATAATAGCCATGCTTTGAGAAATCACCATCCTCGTTATGTCTGAGGACACTGGCCCAAGTTAAAAGGGAGGAAAGAGGAGAACCAAGAAGGTCAAGCTGCTGCTTATAGCCAGTTTGTCCTGAGCAGAAGCACCAAGGCCACTGTTCTTGGCTGTGGCTATGACTACTGGAGGAGCCACAAGCAGCTCTCATGAGGGTGGTCCGGAGAATCAGAGCATAATTAACACTTTCTGGATGAAAGAATGACTGCATGGATGGGCAGTTGGGTGGTTGGAAGGAATGGGATGAATAGAACGAAGGAATTGGTGCTCTGCCATCAGTGTTTCCACAGACAGGCAAAGTTCTGGCTGCATTTGCTTCTGTATTTCTGGAACTAATTTTCAGTTTGGAATACTGGATTCTGCCTTTAACCACATTTATTATTATTTTTTAAATGAGCAGCCAAACTCTAGTAAGAAATTCTCTCAATGCAGATGGGTGGAGAGGTCCCCTAAATTCCCATCTCTTTTCTTCTCTTCCTACCCTCCTCCTAACCACCAGCCCCAAAAAGCACTGACTGATGCCCTTGAGGACTTCTGAGGTCATCTGTGTTTACAGGTTACCATACTTGACCCTGCTGCACTGCAAACATGGCAGGGAGACCCAACCCCCAAGTCCACATCTAATCTTCTGCTTGATTTTACTTGGTCCTTGACAAGAATTTATGACAATATTAACCTGTGACTTGACTGTAATGGGCCTTTGCTGTTTAATTTTTTTTAGTTGTAGTTGGACACAATACCTTTGCTTTATTTATTTATATTTTTTATGTGGTGCTGAGGATCAAACCCAGTGCCTCAGCATGTGCTAGGAGAGCGCTCTACTGCTGAGCCACAACCCCAGCCCCTTTGCTGTTTAATATTAAAAGTACTTTTGTCCACGAAGCACAGAAAAACAGAAAGGGTGCTGGTCTTGGAGTCAGAAAACCAGGTCTTCATCCTCAGGTGAGACATTAAATCCCTTTGGGTCTGACTTTCCTAATTTGTAAAATGGTATGATTTTTCTGTCTTTGAGAGGATGTTGTAAGAATCAAGTGCAAATTAGATGATGCATCTGAGCATGGTTTACAAAGATAAAGCGCTAGTGGTATTACTGAGTGCCTGCTTCCTGCCAAGCACTGTTCTAAAAGTTTCACAGAAATCAACTTCACATTCAATCATCATAAAAACACTAAAAGGTGGGTACTAATTACCCTTGTTTTTTGGTAAGAAAATTAAGATGTCCATCTGAAGTCATGGGTGGAATTTAAACCTAAGGCCCCAGAACCCACCCATCAGCCCTAACCCCAGGCCACTTCTTCTCTGTGCATCCTGCTTAGATGCTGAGTCCAGGTAGTCTGGACACTGGGACAAGCAAGAAACACATGTTTTTCTCCAGCTGATGGGGGTTTTATACAAATAAAAAACAATCATTGGGGGCTGAGGTTGTGGCTCAGAGATAGAGCGCTCACCTGGCATGCATGGGGCACTGGGTTCAATCCTCAGCACCACATAAAAATAAAATAAAGGTATTGTGTCCACCTACAATTTAAAAATAAATAAATAAATATCAAAGGAAAAAAGCAATCATGTAGAAAGATAAGTTTGGCAAAATAAAGAGATCATTTTAAAGCATGTGGAACTATCTGGGATAGATGACATGGATGGACAGTATTTAACAGTGATGGACAGTATTTAGCAGTGGGCCTGCAGTGATAGGAGGGCAGCACAGGACACCGAGGCCAAAAGGGCAGCATAGGACACCAGAGGCCAACTCACCCTGCTTTCTAGTCTTCCCTCAGGCTAGCCTGGTGATGAAGAGTCTGAAATGAGCATGTTTACTCTATTCATAGCCCTTCCCCGTGGCTCCTCTGCCAAGGGGGAACATCCCTGATACAGGTGGCATGTGTGGTTCTTCCAGGTAGAACCTGATCTCTGGACTCACCTTGATATGCCTCAAATTCCATACCTCTTCTTTGGAAGGCTAGGAAAAATGCTTCTGTTCGAATGGGCAAGCCTACCCCCTACTCTTATGGTTTAAAAATAAGAGTGGACAAAATCAGCTAGCTGGACTCCCAAAACAAAAGTGCTTTTTCATCCTGGCTAAAAGGGGGGGGGGGGAAGCTCTTTCAGTTGCCCAAAAGTGAAGTCCACTTCACACTTTCTAAAAACAGCATTAAGAATAGCTCCAGACAGGAGCCCAGAGCAGTTTGAACAACTTGGGAACACAACTGAGTCACAGTTTTGACTTTTTTTTAGGTCAAGACTTTTCATCTAAATAAGGCACAAGAGAAGCTGGTGTTTTAAGCCCTTGTGACAAGATGAAAATAGCTCCCAGCCTCCCTCCTCTCCACTTTTCCACCTCCAACACCTGACTTACAGAAGTCACCAAGCCTGTGACCAAGGACCCATAATTCAAATTGTGGTTAAGGGAATACCAGTCAATGAGGCTCCTGTGTTAGCGCTGGCCCAGCAAGTGAGGACAGGCTCCAGCCACTGGGCTCTGGCTTGGTCCCACAGACCAAAATGTCTGAGATGTGAAAGACAGTATATGTAGGGCTCTGATCACCAGCCCTGCAAGGGCACCAGCTGACCAAACTGTGACAGCACTGTGGCCTTGGAGAAACCCTGCATCTGTCTGACAAACAAAAGTGACTGCTGCTTCTAGAGCATGTTCCCAGTACAAAATTACATTAGAAACTCACCACTGAGGCCAGGTGCAGTGGCGCACGCCTGTAATCCCAGCGGCTCAGGAGGCTGAGACAGGAGGAACATGAGTTCAAAGCCAGTCTCAGCAAAAGCAAGGCACTAAGCAATTCAGTGAGACCCTGTCTCTAAATAAAATACAAAATAGGGCTGGGGATGCGGTTCAGTGGTCAAGTGCCCCTGAGATCAATCCCTGGTACCAAAAAACAAACAAACAAACAAACAAACCTCACCACTGAGGTCAGATTGGAAAGAGCAATATTCCTAAGCAGAAGGACAAATTGGAGCAAACACTGACTCCCCTGGTCAAAAGTTCCACTAAACTGCACACTTTCAGGACAGGTCTAATGCAGTGCCCATGGCTCCCAGGAGCCCTTCCAGGAAGAGTGGATCCTCTGTGTTCAATGGAATCAGTTGTGCTGTCTCAGAAACACAGCCAATGTATCAGAACCAGTAGCTGAGGAATTTCAGAGCACACTTTCTTTATCTCTAAAATGGGAATAAGGCCCCTGCCCTTTCCCCTAGTTTACTGCAGTGAATACAGGAAATACTTTGAAAGCATCTATTTATTTAAGGAATCTGACTAGGGCTAAAGTGGTGGAGGGGGTCTTCCTCTCAGCACTGTTGTGACCAAGTTGAAAGCAGTTAGAACCTGAAAGTACACAGATGTGAAGTGTTTCTTTTGATCATGAAAGATGGTATAGTCATCCCTCCATATCCACAGGGAATTGTTTCTAGGACCTCCCCCAAATCTACAATTGCTCAAGTCTCATATAAGATGGTGTAGTGTGTGCTTATAACTTACACAATCCTCCCATATACATTAAATCATCTCTGGATTACTTATAATGTCTAATACAATGTAAATGCTATGTAAATAGTTATACTATATTGTTCAGGGAATAATGACAAGGGAAAACACAGGCTGTATATGATTAATACAGACAATTTCTTTTTCCAAATATTTTCAGTCCCCAGTTGGTTGAGTCCAAGGACACAAAACCCATGAACACAGAAAGCTGACTTCAAACTGAAAGGACCTTCACACCTTCTTCTTTCTGTCATGGTATTGAAATGTGACCCTTCTGTGAGGGTAATGTTGGAACAATACCACTGGAAGAACATTAACTATCATACCAAGTGGCTAAGTGTGATCTCAATATTCACATCTGAGCAGTTAACAGTGAAGAAGTGGAAAACTTTCACCTTTCCTATGCAAGTTAAAATAGAATTGACTCCTATGTATTCCTCTTTGAAAATAAACTCTTTGGGTCATTTATATGGTAGGAGGACCTGGCAAATCAGTGAATCAGCCATGAGCAGGCTCTGGGCCAGGCATTTCATTGACATCATTTCATTGATTCCTTTCTTCATTGCCATGGGGTCAATATTATTCCCATTTTACAGATGAGGCAGCTGAAGCCCAGAGACATTAACTTACTCAATATCACAGGCAGACACCTGGATTTCTCCAGTAGCAAAGACAAAGAGGCAAAGAGAATTGCGCTTGGGGCCAACCAATAGAATGACAGGAAGACTGTGTCTTGTTGCTGTTTCTTTTCTCCTTTCTGCCTTAAAGTGGGAACAAGCTGGAGACATCTAGGAATTACCATCCAAAACTGGTGCAGGGTCTGGCTGCACAGGAATCAAATCAGCTCCATGAAATGAACCCAGCTGTGCCCCACTGTGGGGGTAAACGAGAATGACAATAGGTGGTTAAATGGATAGTTTTCATCAATTACATGGGAACTTAGCTCTCCAAACTATCGCTGTCCTTTCCAAAGTAGTCACCCTGGGAGACTCTACTTATTCCAACAGTGGATGGCAAACCTTGGCACATTGGAATCATCTGGGAAGTTTTAAAATACTGATGTGTGGTCCTACTCACCAGAGACATAGAGTGAATCAGGCATGTGGGGCCAGAGCATGGGGCGTTTTCAGATCTCACCAGGTGATTCTAACAGGCAGAGGGCTGAGAATCACCTTGCCAAGCCTTTGGGGAACTCTTCTTGCAGAAATGCCTTTGATATCTGGACATTGCCCTTTTTGGATCATTTCAATGGTAAGAAATCTTCCTTTAAGGAAAGGCTGGATTTTTGAAAAGCAGCTCAACGTCATTGAGAACTGAATCTGCTGATTAGGTGTTTGATACTGTTCTTTGTCTGAAACAAGGAGACATGCTTGAAAACCCATACCTGGATTCCTTATGTGGCTCTGAGGTAGTTTCAATGACGGTAATTCACTGAGCACCAGCTGTATATCAGGGTTGTGCTGGGGTTGGAGCTCTGTAGCAGCTCACAGCTGGTTCTCAGGATGAGTGGGACCAGAACACATGTCTTCTTGAATTTCCCTGCTGCTGGGGATGCCTCAGGCTGACCTCCATTTGAGGGACTTTTCCAAATATCCCATACCTCTACCTACACATGGAGTCCTGGCCTCAGAATGTTCTTATATCTGAGGTAAAGATGCTCTGCAGTTAGCATTTCACCAGGCTGCAACTGGTCCCCAGCTAGGGTTGAAAGTGAGTGACCGCCTGTGTCCTCCATGCCCATCCACAGATGCCACTGGTCCTGACAACCCTGTTCATGTCTTGAAGGAAGGTTTTAGAATTAGGTTAGAAAAAAAAGAATCAAAGTGTCAGAGAGGGATGTAGATTTGTGACAGGCAAAAAGAAAGGAAGCCTGCAACAACCTTCTTTAAAAAATACTGTACTCTGACCACTCAATGTATCCTCAGTGAGTATCTGAAGAGTCTCAACTCAGTTAAATACAGCATCAAAGTAGTCATTTCCAGCTTCTGAATGCTGTGATTGTAAGATATCATAGAGCTGAGTGCTATAGGTAATACTAGATTTTAAGATAAATTTGTTAAAACTGGCTTTATTAAAACTTCTAGCAGCTGGCAAAGGCAACTAACTGCTCAAGGGCCTCCTATGACAGTGCCCCTGAGTATTCAAAGTGGACTCAGTCAGCCCTGAGTTCCATTCTTGGTCTTGATACTTACCAGTTTCTGTATCACTTTGAACAACTTGCATCATCTGAGTCTTGGTTTAACTATTGGAAATAAGTGGGGACAATACCCACCTTGCAGAGTGTAGGACAGATTAGATGAAACAATGCACATAAAGCGCCTAGGACAGAGTAGGCAGCCACAGTAGCGAAAGAGCACCATGCCTCCCATTGTTCTGCCACCTAGACTATTTGAGAATCACCTATGCTATTTATTCCATGATCTCCTACCATGCCTCATTGCAGGTGGAAGTAAGAATTCACTTGGAAAAAAAGCAGCTCTCCAGAAAGCAAAGACAACTGCTTAAGGAAGAAGAGAGCGATCCTAGGAGGCAAGATTCCTGCAGCTCCTATCATTCCTTTGACAAAGCAAAGCAAATTCCATCTTTGGAGGCAGAGGCATTAAATTATTGCTCTCTCAAAAATGAGCTAGCAAGAACATAATCTAGACACAATTCATTGTAATTTCCAACCCCAAATTATTCAAATATGGGCTAGGAAATAGCCCAACGTGGAAGGAATGCTGAAGGTTGCCCACGTGGTCACCAGGAAGCCTCTCGCTGACAGTGCAGCACATCCACAGGATGACAAGTCTCTGTCTAACCCCAGGTTAAATGCATAATGTGCTTATTATACATTTAAGTATATTGTTGATGTTTTGAGCAGGCAGCTTCAACAACATTTCAGCATATAACTATCATTAAGGAGAGTTTTAAAAAATAAGATCCTTTGTACTTGGTAAGGGGGATGGTGAGTGGAGGGGGTATCAACATGATGCTATAATTTGACCATTTTAGCTTTCAAATGATGTCACTTAACAACTTGGACCTAAATACACTCAGGAAACAGGCAGCCCCAAAGGACAGCTGCTTAAATTTGAAGGATCTGGAAGTCTACCCTGAAGTATCTTCTCACCCTCTTGCCCTAGGCCCAGAATTGCCACCTTTAGTTACTTTTTGGGGGTAATGATCCCAAAGAGAGAAAAGGGATAGCAGTGATTAGGTTTGTTAGCTCCCTGGGAGCTTTAAAATATACTAATACTGGGTCTTACCCGCCCCCCTCCCCCAGGGGATTCTGATAAACTTGGCCTGGGATGCAGGCTGTGCGTTGAGATTTTTTTTTTTTTAAGTTCCTACCTCATTCTAATGAGTAGCCTAGGCTGAGAATCACTGCACCTGGGTCCTCTCACCCCAGTCAGTGCTCAACATCCCTTCTTTCTCCCACTTCAGCCCTGGTCAATCCAGCAAGCCCTGTGCTCAGCAGTCACAAATAACACAGTTCCAGGGTGGATAGAGTGAGCCCCATCTTACACACGAAGAAACTAAGAACCAGGGAGAGTAAACGACTTTACTCAAAGTCACACAAGTAATTAGTGGGAGTCTAGGTCTCTCTGACTTAGCAGTAGTTCCCAGTTTGTCAGGCTGCCTTGGTAATTTGGGAGCATTAACTCATTAAGCTATTAATGCATCAGAGGGCTTAGTTTATGGTAATAATGGCCCCTAGTTTTTATAGAGGTATTAGTGTTCACATAACACTTTCATAAACATTATTTTATGATATTAAGAATCATTGCTTCATTTTAAAGATGAGAAAACTGAGACTAGAACTATTTCCTTCCTCATGGCCATACTGGTAGAGGAACCAGTTTGAGCTCAAAGACTTTTAACTCCTAATTCCAAAGAAGAGAGCACATTGAAAAACTGGGAAGTAGGAATGGGGAAGTGACGTACTACAAAACAAATGGATGATAAACTTTAAAATTGTCAATATCATGAAAAGCAAAGAAAGGCTAAGGAATATTTCCAGACTAATGGAATTAAAGAGACATGAAAAATAGGGGTTGTGGGTGTCGCTCAGTGGTACAGTACATGCTTGGAAGTGCCCCGAGTTAAATCCCCAGCACACAGAAAAAATGTGAAAAGTAAATGAAATGTGTCCTCTTGAATTAAAGACTGGATTGCAAATCAAAAACTTGATTAAAAAATATGATTAGAATAATTTTATGTTAAAATATGTATTAATATGAAAGTTGCTGAGTTTATCATTATATTGTGGTTGTGTAAAAGAATATCCTTGTTCATAAATTTACATGCCAAAGTATTTAGGGATGAAGAGTTATGATATATGAACTTACTCTCAAAAGGTTGATCAGAAAAAATTTATAAACGTGTTTGTGAATATATGTATATGTGCATATATATGTACACACAAGAGGGAATGTAATAATAACACCTGGTGAATCTCATTGGAATGTTTGTTGTGTTATCTTTGCAACTTTTATCCATATTTTGAAATTGTCTAAATAAAAAGGGAAAAGGGGAAGAAGTACAAGTAGTTTTAGATATAACCAAATAATAACCTGGAGGTGAGCTGTGAAAACCAAAGAAAATACCTTTATTCTGAAAACTGGATGTTGTTTCTAAAATCACAAAAGCTACTGAAGTATTTGTCCATGTTACTGCAGAAGTGGGAAAAATAGTCTATGCCCAGTAAGCACAGGTGCATGTCACTAGGTACCAGGTGAAACTGTTCAAAGACAGGTTATTTTCTCAATTGAAAACAAATAAAATAACTTACAGCAAATAAAACAATTTAAAAATACATTTAAAATAATGTAAAAATAAAAATTTATAAAAATAAAACAATTTAAAGCAAATAAAAATAGTAACATGTTGACCTAGACAATATTCTTCTATAAAGTTAGCCAGTTTACTCATACTTCACAATTATTTAGCAGGGCTTATAATTTAATAGAAATGAAAATATATTTATACTATATTGCTATATTAAAATAGCTACACATAGAATGTATCTACTTTTAATTATTGGTTATATAAAAATCCCATGGGAATTTTTATTCTGGAACGGTGTTGTATACCCTATAATTTAAAAAAACAAATGTTAGAGGTAGAAACTTGAAAAATACATAGTGCATTGAATTTCCTCTTATGGAAAATATATTTTCCATAAGAGGAAATATATTTTAAAAGCTAAAATAAATCACATCCTTTTATGTTACTCTCCTACTTAAAGTGCCTCATTAAGTCAATAGAAGTTGCTGCTTGCTTCTTACCTGGGCACTCAGAGCCCTCACAAGTGGCTGCAACCCACTTTCCAGAATCCCACTCCCTGCCCCAGGCATTCTACAGGCTTGTCTCTTCCCTGAGCAGCCCTGTCCTTTCATGCAGGATCTTTGCAAACATTCTGCTCTCACTGGAAGCTCCCTCCCCTCTCACAGATGCCTTCCTTCTTCAAGGCACATCCCACCCCTGGCAATCAGAGGTGGACTTGCCCTCTTCCTGTTCATGAATGTCCCCAGTGTAGCACCTGTCTCCTTGTATTTTAATGGCACCATATGATAATGGAAGATTTCCTCTTTTCCAGAATTGCCTAGGAGAATCCACAGCTGGAAACTTAGATCATTTTTAGAGCCCTCCAGCTACTGGGCCATCTACACTCGTAAAGACTTTCTGAAAGGCACAGACAGCATCATCTCCTCGGAAGCAGCAATGCATTTCTGCCACCTGAATTCCGCCACTTCACACTCAGTCTCTACAAGATGCATCGGGATAGATTTGATGATTCACTTTGTGGGGAATAGAGTTCATATACAATGAGACTATTCTTTGTCATTTCATCCAGTGGTGTACTACAGATTTTAGTGTACCAAGATAATTGCCCCAAGACAACATTTCATAGAGCCACAGCACTTGCTGGCCAGAGATGGGGATAGGTGGAATAGAGGATTGGGCATTTGAGTGAGATAGAAGGAAGAGATCAAGTCCAACCTCTCTGGTCTCAGTTCTTGAAAGGTATCATTGGGACCTGGAAGGAAGCAAGACTGTATGATTCCCAGTGGTGCCTGAAGAGAGAGCACATGATCCCAGGTGGTGCTGCGAGTAGGAGGTTGGGAGAGGGGATAGGGTTAGAAGATGGGGTCTGATCCCACGTGGGCCAATCAGTGTCAAGGGATGCTGCATGAGCTTGGTCCAACCCCATAAGTCAGAGGTGGATGTGATGGGCATAATGGGCATGATGGGCATCCCCCAATCCACACAGAATCTGCTGACAATTTGGTATTTCAAGGGTGACCTTGCTCTTTGCCACCTGAGAGATAAAAAAATACAGCAAACAAGAGGACTTGCCACCCACCATGGAGAAAACAATTTTGTTTTCACTTCTCTAAGCCCAAAAGAGCAAAAACAGGGAAGAAGTGGGGCTGGGGTTGTGGCTCAGGGGTAGAGCGCTCGCCTAGCATGCTTGAGGCACTGAGTTCAATCCTCAGCCCCACATAAATGCAAAATAAAGATATTGTGTCTACTTAAAACTAAAAATATAAATATTTTTAAAAAAAAACAGGGAAGAAAGAGGCTGGAAAAGAGCATGTCCTGGGAATTGACTACAGGTACTGCAGAGGGAGAGAGCACCTGTAACCTGATATGGGAAAATGTGTTTTGCTGCAAAATCACATATTTGTGGAAGTTTACATTGAATATTTTTGAAACAGTATAAAGCCCATATATTTTAAGTGTATTCTAGTTGTAAAGTATGTGCACATCTATGTTGAATGGCTTTCTCATGTAAAAATGCTGTACTTCACAAATTTCTTATCTGTAAGAAACCGGACATTCTACAGAACATCTCTTTTATTATTTTCTGACGAAGCAGCTGTGTGTTGAACTGCCACCGTATTAAAGTTGTCATATTTCTTATTTCACGCTTTTGTGTATTTTACACAATACGCTTTATCCTGATGCCACAATATTTAGACTCTGAATTTCTCCTCTCTGTGTGTCTTGTTATGTATAAGTTTAAAATATGTAAATTGCTTGCCACAATTTTTTGACCTTGAAATTATATCAGAATAAGAGCTGGACGCGGCACTACATAGCTGTAATTCCAGTGGCTCTGGAGACTGAGGCAGGAGGATTGTGAGTTTAAAGCCAGCCTCAGCAACTTAGCAAGGCCTAAGCCACTCAGTGAGACCCTGTCTCTAAATAAAATATTTTAAAAGGCTGTATATGTGTCTCAGTGGTTGAGAGCTCCTGGATTCAATCCCCAGTATTAGGGGGAAAAAAGTGTGTGTGTGTGTGTGTGTGTGTGTGTGTGTCTCAAAATAAGAAATTGCCCCTCAAAAGTAATTATAAAGGCTGTGATAGCTATCATAAACGTTTGTAAATGGGTGGTCACACATAAGTCCCTTTTACTAATGCCTCTGAGATTATTTAGCAATGAGATCACCTTTTCAGACTTAAATGGAAATGGAAAAAAACATTTTCAAAACATTTTCTTAATGGAAACTCCATTAAGAAATGCAATAGCTGGTTATATTTCTTTAACATATTTTTTGATATGTAAGTCATATACAGTATAATTTATACATGTAAAAGTGTATAAGTCAAGGATTTTGCATATTACACTATTAATTTTTTAAATTGTGGTAGACTATATATAAAAATATAAATTTTGCCATTTTAACTATTTTAAGTGTACAGTTCAGTTACATTAATCACATTTACAATCCTTGATGCCACTCTGGTTTTATTAGGAAAAAAAATTGATTCTTCAAGTAAGTGCTTTAATTCTCAGAAGATAAAATCTTTGTGTTTTGATGCTGGGATTGTGGCTCAGTGGTAGAGCACTCACCTAGCATATATGAGGCACCAGTTTTGATCTTCAGCACCACATATAAATAAATAAAATAAAGATATTGATTGCATCTACTTATAACTATAAATATAAATTAAAGTATAAATATAAATATTTGTGTTTTGATAGAGTTATAGTTAATGTGAAAGATAAAATAGGGACAAATTAGGAGGAAAGGCCTGCAAGCAAATTTAAAGTATGTAGACCTCTTTTAAGCCCTATGTCTTGTGACTTTAAAAAAAAAAAACACCTATCTGTTGTTTAGTTCCTACTTAATATCAAAATGTGTGCTTTAAAAATATTTCAAGCCAGGCATGGGGTCACAAACCTGTAATCCCAGCAACTTGGGCAGGAGGATCACAAGTTCAAAGCCAGTCTCAGCAATCTAGTAAGACCCTATGCAACTTAGTGGGAACTTTTCTCAAAATAAATTAAGAACAAAAAATTAAAAAGGGCTAGGATGTGGCTCAGTGGTTAAACACCCCTGAGTTCAATCCCAGGTACAAAAAAATAAAAAATTGTTTTGACCTTCTAGGAACAAACTTATTTAAAAAAAATATTTATTTTTTAGTTGTAGTTAGACATAATACATTTATTTTATTCATATGTGGTGCTGAGGATTGAACCTGGGGCCTCACACGTACTAGGCGAGCGCTCTACCACTGAGCCACAACCCCAGCCCAAACTTATTTTTTAAAGGAGAAAATTGCCTCTTTTAGCTCTAAAAGTAAGCTGTGTTAGCAGATTAATATGGTGTCCTTTAAAAAAATACAGTTCATATGTGTCTTTATTTAGTATTTTTTATGTGGTGCTGGAAATCGAACCCAGTGCATCACCCATGCTAAGTAAGCGCTCTACCACTGATCCACAACTCTAGCCCTATGGTAGCCTTTTAATGTAATAGAAATGGGTCAGTTTCTACCTCTCAGGATAAAAAGAAAATCTGTCCATTTATAACACATCTTTATATAATGTATACATTCAAAAATAAGACACATATATAGTTGCATTTTTATAAAGGACCGCAGTAGCTTAATCCAAAGAGAAAGCTTAGCAGTGGGAATTTGAGGCCCAAAGGAAGATAGTGATTAGCAAGGGGGCATGAGGCACAGTAAGGATGACCTTGAGCCTGGGCTCAGACTGACATTGAGACCCTTCTCTGTAGATTACCAGCTGCGTAACTCAGGGCAAGCCAGCGTGATCTTACCTGTAAGAGGAGGTACATTAACTAGACTACTTTCAGCTACAAGGAATAGAAAACCATCAAAACAGCTTAAACAATAAGAAGTCTTATTAAAACATAACAAGAATGTGGAAGGAAGAGGGTCTGCAGTGGCTTTTTGGTTCTGATGTTGTCAAGGACGCAGGTTCCCTCCCTTCTGCTATCCAGTCTCTACCCAGGATAACAGTCTCATTTTCACACCACACTCAGGTACAACCCAGTCCAGCAGCAAAAGAGTGGGCAAATACCTCAATAAAGAGCAAGGAAAACCATTATTTGAAGTCCCTCAACAGTCCAGCTCTTGTATTTCAGTGGTTAGTGCCAGGTGAGTGAGCAGCAAAGGGATTTTCCCTGTAACTGGCTTAGACCAACTGTAACCTTCTCTGGAGCTGAGACACCACCTGGTCATTTCACAAGGAGAAAGAGGCACACACAACTGGTGGGTGTGCATCAAAACTACCCCTAACTCTTACTTTCTCTCTCTTTTTTTTCTCTCTCTCTGGTACTGGGAATTGAACTCAGGGGTACTCTACCCCTGAACTGCCTCCCAGCCCTTTTTATTTTTTATTTGGAGGGACTCATAAGTTGCCCAGGCCAACCTCCTACTTGCCATCCTCCTGCCTCAGCCTCCCAAGTAGCTAAGATAATAGGGATGGGCCACCATATCCTATATATCCCTAAATTTTGATACAGATATTAAACAATCTGTAAACTATTTGTAAACATTAAACCATTAACAAGTTAAATATTGAAAATACAAAGTGTCAAGTAAGCACAAAGGAAGGAGCAATTTTTACACAGAGCCAACTTTTTCTGAGCTGGTGAAGTTAGGGTAAGGTTGCCAGATAAATACTTTTTTTTTAATTTGAGTTTTTAATTTAAAATATTTCAAATTTAAATTTGAAAACAGCATGGTACATATTTATACTAAAATAATTGCTGAATCTTTATCTAAAATTTAAATTTAACCAGGCATCCTGTATTTTGTTGTTAAATCTGTTGAATAGAAAGATGCAGAAGAAATTCAACTGAATGAAATTCAGTTGTTTTGATGGGTTAGGAATGCTGCCAGGACCAGGTGGGGTTGGAGTGGAGTTGAGAGATGGAATTGCATCGTTGACTTGAATTACATAGAAATGGATGGAATTTAATTTGGTCAAGTAGAATAAAATACAGTGGGGTTGGCAGAATTAAGAGATGATTACTAGTTCTAACTCCTGCTAATCATTAACATTTATCGAGACCTTGACGCATGCTAGGCACTCTGCTCAGCACTGGACATGAATTACCTCCTTATATTCCTCTGCAGGGACCAGGGTAAGTAAGGCAAGCCAGTGCCTGGGATGAAAACCTGAAGGAGACATGCTTAGTGTTCTGCAGGCACACCCTCTTCCCAAGCCTGTATGCACCACTATTTCACAGAGCAGGAAACCAAAGCTTAGGAAGGCTTAGCAATATGTCCAGGGTCAGTTAGCAGCAGGAGCAGGATATAAGCCTTGCAGGTCTGTGCCATAACCACTCTCTGTCTCTCTGATGGCAAGTGATAGAGCCAACAGATGAGCCAGTCTCTTCTCCAGCCCTTATTTCATGTGCATGGCTTCATCTGGGAAGAATGGAATCCGTTTGACATTTTAAATTCAGGGTGAGCATAAATCTTTACACATGGAACAGAGTGGGTAGAAGGAACCTGGCTGTAGGGGTTGGGTAGAAGGTGGAATCTAGGGGCTGGTAGAGTGCCCACCGTGCACATGTGGGGCACTGGGTTCGATCCTCAGCACTACATAAAAACAAATAAAGATATTGTGACCAACTACAACTAAAAAAATATATTTAAAAAAAAGAAGGTGGAATCTAGTCAAATCCTTGACCTCAGTCCAGCAGTCTGCAATCCTGGCTGTACATTAGAATGCTTGGGAAGCTTTTAAAAATCCCAGCCCCATCACAGATCTCTGGATGTAAACCTGCTCAAGTTGAGAGTTCTGAATCTGAAAATCACACCTTTAGGCTCATGAATGCTTGCCTGACTGAGTTAGAACACAAAAACTCCAACTCTGAAAAGAGTTTGTTTCTGATGTCCCTGCAAAGGCCTGAGAGTTTTCAATCAAATGGGCAGCTACATGCCCGATGAAAGGGCGCTGGCCATGTGCTGAAGGCTGGCAAACTTCAGACCTCCTGCTTTCCTGTAAACAAGGCCAAGAAGATAGTGAGATTGCTGTTTGGAATCCAAACATGCTTGTTTTAGTGTAGGCAAAGACTGTGACATTTTAAAATCCTGGATTGGGGGTGGGGCCAAGAGGAAGAGTGGAAATATTACCAGCTTTGATTGTACATATCTGAGGGCGCCCTTTACCAGGAATTCTCTCTTGCCTCCTTGTCCCCAAAGCTTCCTTCTTTAGGTACCCAGGGCCAGTGGGGAGATCTATAGTTACATAGAATCCTCTCTGACATCATGATAAGCGGGGGCGGGGGGAGGGAGGGCAGGTGGATGACCGAGGTACAGGCAGGAGTGTGTTTCACTGTGCCCAGGATCTTGTAACACCTGAGCCTCAATTTTGTCATCTACAAAAATGAAGACAGTCATCCCTTAAATTCCCTATTTCCTAGATCTAAGCAGATTAAAGGAGACACCAGAGGCAATAGCCATGCTTGGGAAATGTTGACACTCTGTACAAATATATATGTTCCTATTAATTTTTATAGTTCTAGTTACAATCTCATATGTCATCTCATATGATCCTCATGGAAGGCTACTGATATTTCTGTGGCCTAAATGGACTTTAGGAAGAAAAAAAAAAAAAACCTTGACTGTATTTCAGACTCTTCTTTGCAAAGCATTTTACAAATACTTGGAAAATTGTATTAATTTATTTCATCACTGTCTACCTTAGAATTGTTACAGGAAACAGACTGGTTGAGAAGCAGCAATCAGCACTCTGAGAGAATTCCAAACTTTGTTTTATGCAAACAGGGCCAGCGGAAAACAAAACTCCAGATTCTGAGCCCTGATCCACAGTTTCTCGAAACACTGATAGGTGATTTGGCTTATCTTAGACTCATCCTATCACTGGGGCTTTATTCCCCTTAAAAAAAAAAAAAAATCCTAATCTACACAACTGAAGGCCTTGTGCAGGGTCTCTAACCTAAAGCTGGCTTACAGAAACAGATAAGAAGGGCTCTTTTCACAGGCATCTTTACATTTCAAAAGGGTGTAGTCAGACTCCTAAGGTAGTTATTTACAATTCAAAAGGTAGGGACTCATGGTTAATTAGGCTTCCTGGAGAAAGGCTGAGAGAGGAGAGGGGAACTGACTCCTTCCACAAGCATTGGTTTCTTACCATAACATTTTTACAATCCCATTTCACAACCAGGTCTGGTTTGGCCATCACAGAATGATGTCAAAATTTGCTGTTTGAGGAAGGTTCTACATAACATTCTTGCTTAATATTTCCAGTGACTTAGAACCATGCTATTCAGGAGTTTTCAAGGACCAGAAAAAATAGTAACTTGGGAGATTTTTAGAAATGCTCCATCTAGGACCTATGAATCAGAATTTGTATTTCAACAAGATCCTCAAGTGATTCTATGTACATTTTATTTTGAGAAGGCGTGTCCTAGTTACCAACCCTGCAGAGTTTGAGAAAAGGGTAAAGAAATGATTCCCATGCAATGCTAAAGTTTGGGAAATATGCACTTAGAAAAGTTTCCAGACTTGACTAGGGAACGCGAGCACCTCAATATTGTACAGTGGCTCCAGATATTAGGGAAAAGATGAAAAGAGGAAATCAAAGCCTATTAAATATTAAGCACTTGGTAGCATACATACCATTACCTGTGAGAAAGACTGTATTATCCTTCTTTGTTAATGAAGAAATTGGAATGATAAGATTTAAGATATTTAAGGATCATGTTTCTAGTTAATAGAAGAGCGGTGATTCTAGTTACTACCTGAGTAGCTACTTGGGGCAGGGGCACTTGGGATTAAACCCTGGGGTGCTTCACCCCTGAGCTACATCAGTCCCCACTCCTGTTTTTGTTTGTTTGTTTGTTTGTTTGTTTGTTTTTGGACAGAGTCTCTGAGGGTCTCACTAAATTGCTGAGGTTGGCCTCAAACTCTCAATTCTCCTGCCTCAGTCTCCCCAATCAGTGGGATATAGGCACATACCACCACGCCTGGCCTGAGTAGCTTCTTCATAAGGCAGTTTTGAGAATACCAGAAGACCTGCTTATACATGTTCTTTTAGGCCCAAAAGTCTGGTCGAATCATAGGTCTTCACCTTATAACACTTTTCTCATTTCAGATTTCCTCCAATTTCATTTTTCTTGGGTTCTAATCAGAGACAATCTTTTTGAAAGATATAATTTAAATTTACATACCATAACATTGTAAAGTGTACACAGCGTTTTTTAGTATATTCACAATTATGCAATGATCACCACTATCTAATTCTAGAACATGTTCATTACCCAATAAAATAACCCTACATCCATTACCTCCCATTCCTTATCCCCAAGTCTCTGGAAACCACTAATCTACTTTTGTCTCTCTGAATTTGCCTACTCTGGGCATTTCATATAAATGGAATCATATGATATGTGGTCTCTGGTAATGGGCTTATTTCACTTAGCATGGTGTTTTCCAGGGTCATCCATGTTGTAGCAAGAACTGGTTCTTCATTACTTTTGATTATTAACAAAAAATATCCCATTGTACAGATATAGCACATTTTGTTTATCCAGTCATCAGCTGATGGACATTTTCATTGTTTCCACTCTTTTGCTGATATGGGTAAAGCTGTTGAACATTTGAGTTCATGTTTTTGTGTGGACATATATTTTCCAATTCTCTTGGGTATTTTCCCAGGAATAGAATTAGTGGGTATACATTTAACTTTCTAAGGAACTGCCAGATTATTTTCAGAAGATATTTTGGCCAATGTTTTCATTACATATTGGATTTAAAGAAGGACAGAATTTTGTCAGAAGACCTAGGGAGCCACAAAACTGAAGAGCCATGAAATAGCAGTGATTCTGTGAATTTAATTCCAAACCACATCTGACTTATAGAACCTAGGCAAAAGAGGGATTTGAACAGAATCCAGGGAAGTCAGTTGTCTAAGGTACACTGTGATAGATGAAGACATAGCATAGGACAAAGACCAGGTTCAAGTCCCTACTTATAGTTACTCACTGTGTGACCTTGGGTAAGTGCCTTCCTCTTTCTGGTTTTCCGGTCTGTGAAATGAGATGCCATGTCTGTATGGGTTCTCACTGTTCTGTGACCAATCCTTGATACCCCACAAGTCAGTGGCTCAAGCCCAGGGTGGCTGTGCAATTTTCTGGATCAGTATTCACTCTGTGAGTTGAGTTGCTGGAATTACAAGTTCACCTATATAGGATGACAAACAAGGTGGGCTTTCCAGTTGTCTGCTCAGTGGCAAACTGAGCCTGATATCCCAGGGATAGATGATGCTCAGCCACTGTGGACTGACTCATGTAGGTACTTAGTTCTTGGGCACTGCCGAAATGAGACTGGAATTTACCTACAAAAGAAAGAGAAAATTGTAGTCACCGCCACCACTGTGCCACATGCCACATGTTAAACTTTCTTTTGAGGAGTAATTATTATAAGTCATATGGGTTTATTATATAAAAATTCAAAACATAGGAAAATTTAATGATGAAAAGAAAAATCAATGTAATACTACCATCCAAAAATAAATACTAATTATATATATTTTAAAACATACATGACAAATATATATTATTTTTGTCAATTTAAATTAATTTTTAAATAACCACTATGTTTGATGTTATTTTAGTCTTAATATTTTTATTACTAAATTGGTATTATACTCTAGTTTTCTTCTCTAGTTTTTTTGTTCTAGTTTCTCTAGTTTTCTAGTTTATACATATCATTCCATGTTGTTAAAAGTCTTCAGAAACTGGATCTTAATGATCACAGACAATTCCATTATATGGGTTCACTATTTATATTTAACCATTCATTATTGGATATTTATTATATAGGGTGCTCTAGGCTTTATCTCTGAAAATAAATAATGTCAATCTCTGCTTTGGATATTCCAAACACCCTTGCAATCAGAGACCTTCCCAATTTAATTCCAACTTGTCTTTCCATCCTCTGTTTCCATAAGTCTCCGATGCAGGGCAGATGTTTAGCTTACATGCACTGATGAAGCCATTCTGGTTGTTAAAACACTGAGACACCTCAGCATGCAGTGAATGGGGTAAAATGCTAGGAAGCTGTCTCCTCCACCCTGCCTTACAGCCCTACCTCTACCCCAGTCCCTGCACAAGAACCTCTCCCAAAGCCAACCACTGAGATCTTCTGCCAGGACAGCAGGCATTAGGATGGATCAGTGCCTGAACTCCACCAGTGCAAACACTTTGGACGCCCTGGCCTTCTCCAGTTGTGACAATTTGTTTATGCTACTTCCCCTTCCTAAAAAACATTTCCCATCTTTCTCCCTCTGGCTAAGTCTTGCCAGTGCTTCAAAATCAAATTCCAGTTCTATCTTCTCCATAAAGTTTTAGCCAACTACATGGGCCCAGTCTGGTCTCTTGGTCCTGTGAATTTCTATAGTCTTTTGTTTTGACTTTTGTCAGAACTCTGACACAGAATTTGAAGTTGTTCTTTGTTATTTGATGTTTCATTCATGCCCATCCTTTGTCCCAGCTTGATACTAGGTCCTATAAGACAAGGACCATGTCTTAACTTTTCTTTAATCTGGGGGAAAGACATTCCTGTGTTTTTGTATGCCATTTCCTCTTCCCAGACATACAGGAAACTACTTTGGCTCAACTCCTCTGCTGTTAATGTGAGGCTATTTGAATACTAACTAAGAAAACATAACAGATATGACATAATACTTTAAATAGTTGTGTAAACCAGTATTGATAGTATACACCTGTAATCCCAGCAACTCAGAAGACTGAGGCAGGAGGATCTCAAGTTCAAAGACAGCCTCAACAACTTAGTGAGGTCCTAAGTAACTTAGCAAGACCATGTCTCAAAATATAAAATAAGAGTGGGAACCACCATTTCCACAGTCACTTCCAACTAAAAAGCAAAGAAAGAATGTTGTTTGGATTTTTTTAATACCTTTATTCTATTTATTTATTTTTATGTGGTGCTGAGGATCAAACCCAGGGCCTTGCACATGGTAGGCAAGTGCTCTACTGCTGAGCCACAACCCAGCCCCTTTGTTTGGATTTTTATACCCAGATCAATGTTCCTTTGGTGAGGAACAGAGACAGGGAAGGTTGAGAGAATTATGTGTTTCCTTTTTATATTTTTGTTATGTTTCTTTTGTTGTTGTTTTATCGTTTGCTAATAATTTAAATGCTTAATCTATTGGTTAAGAATTGTTTCTATCTGCAGGGGCTTAATACTTCAGTTATAGATCCATGGTCTTCTTATGTTGTTTAGATATATTTAGAGAGTAAATAGCCTAGGCAAGCTTTGCAGTTAAGAGGGTTTCTGTGCATGCTTTGTCTCTGACGGCTCATTCCAGGGCTCAGATTCTAGGCACCATGAAGTCCCCAAACAAAACCTGCAGACAGATGTACAAATCCTTGATGTGGAAAAACCTTCCCTACCCTTTAGAATAGTTTCTCCTTATTCCATATAAACCTTTTAAAGTGGGCTGGGGATGTGGCTCAAGCGGTAGCGCGCTCACCTGGCATGCGCGCAGCCCGGGTTCGATCCTCAGCACCACATACAAACAAAGATGTTGTGCCTGCTGATAAATAAAAAATAAATACTAAAATTCTCTCTCTCTCTCTCTCTCTATCTCTCAAAAAAATAAAATAAACCTTTTAAAGAGAGCAGAAAAATATTCTGACGTAATTACTAAACTAAATTCTTATAGACATTAGACAGACTTAACATACCTCCACATCTATTGAATTTGAGAACCGAGTATTTGCCCCAATTCAACTTGGATCACTATGCTGTCCCAGGAGGATCAAGAGAAGTGGATTTGGCGATAGTTCCTAGACATGCAAGACATGGAGAAGAACAGAGAAGCATTTCCAAAACTTCTGCTGTGGCCACAATTCTGAGCTCTAAGTCCCCATTAGGAACTTCAAAAATGCCAACCTGGGGCATCTCTCTAGATGAGGACTTGGCATGCTAGATGTTCCCCAGGTGCACTGCTGAGTGGCAGGGGTCAGATCAGGGTCAGTGCCCACAGTAGGCACTGAAGTCAGTCCATAGGGTTCACCCCACACACTTGCCTCCAGGAGCCCATCTTGTCCTTAAGGCCTGTACCTTTAAAAGAGAGGAGCAATCACATAATAGAGAGAAAGCATACATCTAACATTACATTTAATAGATTTATATGTATTTGTAACTGGAGAAAGCAAATAATATGGTTATTTCATGTTGTAATTAAGGTTGCTTTTTACATATAAGAACATATAAATTGCATTTTGGAAAATAAATCTAAGAATAAAAAAAAGAATGGGCTGGGAGCTGGGCATGGTAGCACATGCCTGTAATCCCAGTGGCTCAGGAGGCTGAGGCAGGAAGATTGGGAGTTCACAGCTAAGGTGCTAAGCAATTCAGTGAGATCCTGTCTCTAAATAAAATACAAAATAGGGCTGGGGATGTGGCTCAGTGGTTAACTGTCCCTGAGTTCAATCTACAGTACAAAAAAAAAAAAAATCGGGATGGCATAGATGGTGACCTGAGAAGATGAAGGCATCCTGTATCCCTAAGTTACCACACAGATTAAAGCTGCTCTGGAGGGCCACTGACCTGCACTGGACAGTGATGTGAGCAAGAATAAACCTTTTACATGTTAAGCCACTTCAACTGGGATCTTCTTGGTTCAAAATAGTCTAACCCATGGGCATCCAACCTGCTTTTTATGACTTGCAGGATAATTGTTTTTTACATTTTCAAAGGTATGTAAAGAAAATAAGAGGAATACAGAGTTGCATGTAGCCTACAAAGCATAAATCCTATCTGGTATTTTATTTTATTTTATTTTTTCTTACAGGTTTTTTAAAATTTTTTTTATTGTTGGTTGTTCAAAACATTACAAATTTCTTGATATATCATATTTCACACTTTGATTCAAGTGGGTTATGAACTCCCATTTTTACCCCATATACAGATTGCAGAATCACATCAGTTACACATCCATTGATTTACATATTGCCATACTAGTGTCTGTTGTGTTCTGCTGCCTTTCCTATCCTCTACTATCCCCCCTCCCCTCCCCTCCCCTCTTCTCTCTCTACCCCCTCTACTGTCATTCATTTCTCCCCCTTGTATTATTTTTCCCTTTCCCCTCACTTCCTCTTGTATGTACTTTTGTATAACCCTGAGGGTCTCCTTCCATTTCCATGCGATTTCCCTTCTCTCTCCCTTTCCCTCCCACCTCTCATCCCTATTTAATGTTAATCTTCTTCTCCTGCTCTTCGTCCCTACTCTGTTTTTAGTTACTCTCCTTATATCAAAGAAGACATTTGGCATTTGTTTTTTAGGGATTGGCTAGCTTCACTTAGCATAATCTGCTCTAATGCCATCCATTTCCCTGCAAATTCTATGATTTTGTCATTTTTTAATGCAGAGTAATACTCCATTGTGTATAAATGCCACATTTTTTTTATCCATTCGTCTATTGAAGGGCATCTAGGTTGGTTCCACAGTCTTGCTATTGTGAATTGTGCTGCTATGAACATCGATGTAGCAGTGTCCCTGTAGCATGCTCTTTTTAGGTCTTTAGGGAATAGACCGAGAAGGGGAATAGCTGGGTCAAATGGTGGCTCCATTGCCAGCTTTCCAAGAAATCTCCATACTGCTTTCCAAATTGGCTGCACCAATTTACAGTCCCACCAGCAATGTACAAGTGTACCCTTTTCCCCACATCCTCGCCAGCACCTGTTGTTGTTTGACTTCATAATGGCTGCCAATCTTACTGGAGTGAGATGGTGTCTTAGGGTGGTTTTGATTTGCATTTCTCTGACTGCTAGAGATGGAGAGCATTTTTTCATGTACTTGTTGATTGATTGTATGTCCTCTGAGAAGTGTCTGTTCAGGTCCTTGGCCCATTTGTTGATTGGGTTGTTTGTTCTCTTATTGTCTAATTTTTTGAGTTCTTTGTATACTCTGGATATTAGGGCTCTATCTGAAGTGTGAGGAGTAAAGATTTGTTCCCAGGATGTAGGCTCCCTATTTACCTCTCATTGTTTCTTTTGCTGAGAAAAAACTTTTTAGTTTGAGTAAGTCCCATTTGTTGATTCTAGTTATTAACTTTTGTGCTATGGGTGTCCTATTGAGGAATTTGGAGCCCGACCCCACAGTATGTAGATCGTAACCAACTTTTTCTTCTATCAGACGGCGTGTCTCTGATTTGATATCAAGCTCCTTGATCCATTTTGAATTAACTTTTGTGCATGGCGAGAGAAAGGGATTCAGTTTCATTTTGTTGCATATGGATTTCCAGTTTTCCCAGCACCATTTGTTGAAGATGCTATCCTTCCTCCATTGCATGCTTTTAGCCCCTTTATCAAATATAAGATAGTTGTAGTTTTGTGGATTGGTTTCTGTGTCCTCTATTCTGTACCATTGGTCCACCCACCTGTTTTGGTACCAGTACCATGCTGTTTTTGTTACTATTGCTCTGTAGTATAGTTTGAAGTCTGGTATCGCTATACCGCCTGATTCACACTTCCTGCTTAGCATTGTTTTTGCTATTCTGGGTCTTTTATTTTTCCATATGAATTTCATGATTGCTTTCTCTATTTCTACAAGAAATGCCGTTGGGATTTTGATTGGCATTGCATTAAACCTATAGAGAACTTTTGGTAATATCGCCATTTTGATGATGTTAGTTCTGCCTATCCATGAACAGGGTATATTTTTCCATCTTCTAAGATCTTCTTCTATTTCTCTCTTTAGGGTTCTGTAGTTTTCATTGTATAAGTCTTTCACCTCTTTTGTTAGGTTGATTCCCAAGTATTTTATTTTTTTTGAAGATATTGTGAATGGAGTGGTTGTCCTCACTTCCATTTCAGAGGATTTGTTGCTGCTATACAGGAATGCCTTTGATTTATGCGTGTTGATTTTATAGCCTGCCACTTTGCTGAATTCATTTATTAGCTCTAATAGTTTCTTTGTAGACCCTTTTGGGTCTGCTAGGTATAGAATCATGTCACCTGCAAATAGTGATAATTTAAGTTCTTCTTTTCCTATTTTTATGCCTTTAATTTCTTTCGTCTGTCTAATTGCTCTGGCCAGTGTTTCGAGAACTATGTTGAACAGAAGTGGAGAGAGAGGGCATCCCTGTCTTGTTCCAGATTTTAGAGGGAATGCCTTCAATTTTTCTCCATTCAGAATGATGCTAGCCTGAGGCTTAGCATAGATTGCTTTTACAATATTGAGGTATGTTCCTGTTATCCCTAGTTTTTCTAGAGTTTTGAACATAAAGGGATGCTGTACTTTGTCAAATGCTTTTTCCGCATCTATCGAGATGATCATATGGTTCTTATTTTTAAGTCTATTGATGTGGTGAATAACATTTATTGATTTCCGTATATTGAACCAGCCTTGCATCCCAGGGATGAATCCTACTTGATCATGGTGCACAATTTTTTTGATATGTTTTTGTATCCGATTCGCCAGAATTTTATTGAGGATTTTTGCATCTAGGTTCATTAGAGATATTGGTCTGTAGTTTTCTTTCTTTGAAGTGTCTTTGTCTGGTTTAGGTATCAGGGTGATGTTGGCCTCGTAGAATGAATTTGGAAGTTCTCCCTCTTTTTCTATTTCCTGAAGTAGCTTGAAAAGTATTGGTATTAGTTCCTCTTTAAAGGTTTTGTAAAACTCTGCTGTATACCCATCCGGTCATGGGCTTTTCTTAGTTGGTAGTCTTTTGATGGTTTCTTCTATTTCCTCTATTTCCTAATCCTATCTGGTATTTTATAAAAAAAAAAAAAAAAAAAAAAAAACCCTAACCCCTTCACTAACTTGCCCTGATTAACATAACTTTCCAAAGCATCCAGCACAGAACAAGACCTAAGAACACCCGATCCTTCTGAAATACAATATTTGCGGGCTGAGGATGTGGCTCAAGCGGTAGCGCACTCGCCTGGCATGTGTGCGGCCCGGGTTCAATCCTCAGCACCACATACAAAGAAAGATGTTGTGTCCGCCAAAAACTAAAAAAATAAATATTAAAAATTCTCTCTCTCTCTCTCATAAAAAAAAGAATACAATATTTGCTTCATGAATGAAATCATCAACTTCAGGCATGCTTCATTCATTTCTGTGCCCTTTTGATATTCAGTGAATGTGAATGTGCCCAGTGTTAGATGTGCTGGGAAGCAGAGCTCGCATAAACACAAGGAAAGGGAGAAGTGTATGAGATTCAGTCTATATACTGCCAGAGATCTACTTAGCCCACCTGGCTGCCCTGTCCCCAGGCCCCACCCTGCTTTCTCTAACAAAGGAGTCTTAGCAGTAGCTCAAGCTGTTTCTGAGGTCATAGGGCCCTAGCACCATCACTCCATCTGCTAATACTGCATTCGCCTCAACCTCCCCTGAGGACAAGGGCCAGGGTTTGACATAGCTTCCCTTCTCCCACTGCATGCAGCAGGAATCACAGCAACTCAGGCCACCTAGGCCTGAGCCAGCCCTTCCCACAGAGGCCTTGACTTGTCCAGAGGGCCTCCAGGGAGCAGGGGTAACAGCTCAGAATGCAGGGAACTAACACACCACAGTTAAAACCCTGACTAATGAGAGAAGTGGTGGGAAGACACTGGAGGTAAAGTGCCCTCCTCTGCTACAGGGATGCCATACCCATGGCCTTGGAACCTGCTAAGGTCAGCACAGCCTGGGATCTGCTCTCTCTTCCTCCTTTCCTCTGGTCTCCTTTCCCTTCAATCTTGCTTCCCTGAGATGATGCCACCAAAAAAAGCACTGGATTTGAAGCTTGACTTCAGGCTCTGTTTTCTGGGGAGCTCAAGCTAAGATACAGGAAAACCAATATTTGTGGGTCCCTGTTATGTTCCAGGCACGGTGAACCTTCCCTATTTTATCCTTACAAAAACTGTAAGACAATGATATTAACTCAGTCTTAAAAGAAAATGGAGGCAAAAGGAAACAATCCTACTGTTAAGTGATTGAAAAGGCAAAATCAAACACCAAACAGGCAAAGAGCTCTCTTGCCCTTCCTTAGTGTATCTGTATACCATCTGTGATTGATTCCCTAGTGCTCTGATCCTTTGGGGAGCCTTGTAGTTACATCAGCTGTATGCCACAGTGGTTTGGGGTAGGTTTAAACCTTAGCAACATCTGACCTATAAAATAATGTCAGGGAGGGTTCCCCAAAAGACAAGGAGGAATCAGGAGAATTCCTTGAATGGACACAGAGCAAGAGGTGGGAGGGCAGATTTGAAAGGGCTAGAAAAACAAGAGGGACCCTAGCTTCAGCAGGTCGGTGGCAGGATGAGACTAGTGAGGGCCAGAGGCACCGGCCTGGCTGCACTCATGCTGCCTCTGCCTCCTGCAGGGAGTCCAGGTCGCCCTATGCAGCCCTGGGCACAGGGGAGCCCTGGATGCAGCCTCTGTGGGGAATTGCACGTGTGATGCGAGGGCGCCCCCTGGGGGTCGCGCGCTGTGCCAAGCAGGGACGTGCAGTCCGGGATTGCTGAGCCTGGGCTTGAATAGTTTGTCTCTTGGCATTTGGCAGAACTCAAAGCTTTCTGTGAGGAGAGGAGGCCCATTGGAATAGAAATAATCTCGGACTTCCAGAACTGTTTTGTGGAAAGATTCAGGAACAGACAGAACAGTCCTAAGAAAGACTTTTGGAATTTTTCAAATTTTGTTTATGTCTCCTCAAAAGGCGGCTTTGCAGGCACTAGTAATATTTGGAAGAGAATTCAGGAAATGATCTTTAGAATCTCAGGCAAAGAAAAAGATAAATCATGTCTTAAACATGACACCAAAAGTGAAAGAAGAAGATAAAGGAAAAGGTTGAAGTCAATTTCACTAAAGAACTCTGTTCAACAAAAACATTGTATAGAATGAGAAGACAATCCAGAGACAGAAAGAAGATAATTGTAACGCATAAAACTGGCAAAAAGTTGGTGCCTAGAATCTTTAAAGAGCTGCCAATCAATAAGATTAGCCTATTGTTTAAAAAAGAGACAAACAGACATTTCAGAGATGAAGAAACACAAAAG